TGCGGAAGCAGCACCTTCAAAATCCATGACGGCTTTAAACAGCTGACACGGAGAAGCAGCATGATATTGATGTAGCTGTGGAGACAGCAATATGTCAGGTACAGCGATAGATGTGCAGCTTCATCGATGCTATGTTACCCAAAGGTTCCCACAGTGTGAGAAGAATTGATAGTTAATGCCTTTTTTTTTCCTGTTTGCACTACAAAGTTGTTGATTCCTGCTGTTTACACAGACACCAAAGAATGGATAATGTTAGGACAGGCCAACAAAATTTAAAATGCTATGTTTGGAAACAATAATGATTTAGTCAGTGTTCTGCAATATTGACATTTGGGAAATATGTATGCTCATTTGCTCTTTTTCTGAGAGAATATGTAAAATAAATACCTCTATCATGTCTGTATTATATAAATGTGAAGCTATGGCCAGCACCAGGTTAGCTTAGCTTAGCACAAAAATTGAAACAGCTCACCTGGCTCTAGTAACAAAGGTGACAAAATACACCTCTAAAGCGCACTTTACAGACACCTTTTGCCAGTCTTGTGCTAGCGGTAGCATTTACTATAATCTTTTTTTTTTATTTAACTTTTAATTAACAAGATGATCTCATTGAGATTTAAAACCTCTTTTTCAAGAGAGACCTGGCTAAAACTGCAGCATATTGACAGAGCACAGTTACAGATATGGACACCACATGATAGTGGTTTCAATCTTCATTCAATCATCAACTCTCACCAAGAAAACGAATATGTGAATTTCCAAAATGTATTAGTGTAGTCAAAAAAAGTGACAAAAATCTGCTGTTGCAGTACAAATATTTCAACCGGTTTCTTGTTGAAATCAGTTTGTTTTGAGGATTTTCAAGTGTCTGTATGTTGAAATTAGACTGAACAACACATGTTGCTGCATTAGAATTAAGGAAAGATTTTAATTGAAAATACACAAAGCAAGTTGACTGGCGATGGAGACAGTGTATAATATTCTTACAGCACTAACAGATTTTTTGTACTTTTTGTTTTAAGAACAAGAAAACACAGAATTACTTTGTAGGGAGATTTTTGCAGTGTACTGCTCTTTTCCCTTTTCTGAAAATCTGCTTAGTCCCATCTTTACATGGCCTGGGGGGGGAATAGAAACATGTATGTCAAACTGCAGCCTATATCCTCCTCTCTGTTAGCAAAAGAGACAACTGATTAATGTACACACACTCAGTCCCCTTCCTTACTTTATTTGGCACATAGCACTCATAGACCATTTGGGTCAAATTGCTTAAGGCTTGAAGTCAAAATCACTTCAGCCGAGTCCAGTGTTCTTGCTCATGTGTACAGAGAGTTTGTACAATTTGGGATTTTTATTTATTTATTTATTTATTTGTAATTAAGATAAATACTGTAAATATCTACTAGTACAGTGTGTTTGCTTCAATACACATGCATTACAAACATGCATCTGTACGTGTGAAGCTTGCATTGTATGCGATATTATGTTTGTCTCGAGTTACTCACGCCTGCTGACTCTGAGAGTTTGCCTTGAGGGCGATGGAGAGAGAAAGGAAAGAGTACAAGAAAGCTTTCAAACAGGGAGACAGAAAGAGAGAGACTAACAGACAGACTGAGCAGAGGGGGAGAAGACAGACAGGAAATGAAAGGCGGTAAGAGGAATGGATGCAACTGTCTCACCAGCTGTACTGAGCGTGCTCATTCACCATGTGGGCTGCTGATGAGAAGCGGGGGAAACTGGTGAGCAGCATAACACGGGCCTGTCAAATCAGCTGTGTTAGCTCTCACTCTCCGCCACGCTGGCAACTCACTCAATAGCTCATTATTTTCTAATACATGCAGACACAGAGAAGGCCATAGGAGAGCAGTGATAAATGAACGGAGCTAGATGAAGGAGCACACAGCACACGCTTGTGGTCAGCTTGGAAGTTGGCTTTTCCAGTGTGGATTCTTTCTCACCGTTATTTATTCACAGAAGAGCCACTGGAGTGCAAGTTTTTGTTTTTCAATAACTTGCCATTTTGAAAATGCAAGCACAAAACTCCTGATCAGGGGTGGTGATGGCGCAATGAATAAAACACATGCCTTTGGTGTGAGCGACCCAGGTTCAATCCCGCACTGTGACCCATCCACCAATGTGTCCCTGAGCAAGACACTTTACCCCTCGTTGCTCCAGAGGTGTGCGACCTCTGACATATATAGCAATTGTAAGTCACTTTGGATAAAATATAAATGAATAATGTAATCAGTTTAAAGCGATGACAGCATGAAGGCTTAATTTGACAAGTACAGACAGCAGCTCCTCAGAATAGCTGCACAGTCAGATGAAACTGAAGAAGATTCAAACTGAATCTATAATTCAGTTTAAATAGGAGGAAAGTGTAATCTAATAAAATATATTTATGACTGTGAATGTGTTACATAGTAGTTTTGTATGTCAAGGCATGTAAGATAACTGGGTGATCAGGGTTAGGGAGTAACGGATTATATGTAACAGCGTTATGTAATCAGGATACAAAAAAAACTAACTGTATTCCGTTGCAGTACAATAAATAAAGACTCCATCATATTACCAGTACATTTTGTAAAAACAGGGATTACACATAGGGATTACTTACTTCTGTAGCCTTTATGTGCGTGTTTCCTGTAAAAACACAAAGCTAGGGAGGAACGTGATGCAGAAATTGATTGGCGCTTACAGTAGCCAGTAATTAAAAAAGTTGTGTTTTTGTACAGTAATCAGTCTACGGTGGGGCACAGTCGGCCGGACTGGACACTAAATTAATACAGGCCCCCAAGTGCAGGATGAGTCATCAACATTTTTAAATTGTTTTCCAGGAAATGACACAATCTTAATTATCATCAAGAATACCTACAAAACATATTTTTTGTCATTGATGGCTGATAGATACTGCCATGTTGGTGACAGATAAGGAATATCATATAAAAACATTTAAACATTGCTTTTGAATTCATGGGAATGGGAGATTTTCTCTAAAAATACACTGAGCAAAGAACGCAACGTAATACTCTCTTGTTACATTGCATTTATTCATTTAGCTGACGCTTTTATCCCTAAGCGACTTACAATTGCTGTATATGTCAGAGGTCGCACGCCTCTGGATTAATAGTAACTGTCCTGGATTACATTTTTAAAGTAATCCTCACAACCCTCTGGGTGATGTGGGTAGACACAAAGCTTCCTTCCTTTGTCAATGCCAATTTAAGGAAAATTCTGGTCCACCTCTCATAAGTTTTAGTTACAACTTTGACACCCCACACTGTGGTGATAACTAGTACTTTGATCATTTGATGAATACTATACTTGCTTGATGATAATTTCACAATACTTCAGTTTGGAATTCGGATTATGTCAGCATCAAGAGGTCTTCTTCTTCAGTATCTTAATAGTGTGGGATGGGAGTGGAGAGGACAAAAAGGTTCATTCAGTTTTGGTGTATTGAGCTTTCTTTTAACAGAGTGCTACCTTGCTGCTATGGTATTTAGGAGATCCTTGTGTTGTTCACTCCCGAGTTTCAATTTGTAACCTCCTGTGGTTTCCTGCCAATGTCCATTATCTGAGCAGTGAGCTTGATGAGGGCAACCACTGTGAATCTACAGCATTTCAATTAGGAGGGATGGGATGCTCATCTCCTTGACAGCCCCACTTTAAAAGGCAATTTATTATGTAATCTAAAATGTTCTGTTTCATGAGGAAAGGTCGGGAATTATCTAATGACTTTAGTAGTAATTGATAGTGAGCTTGGCTTCAATGCTGGCCATCATTTTGTCAGGAATAGATGTGATATTTTCAAATGGATCTCCCAGTGATATGTCATTTCTGAGCTGAAAGGCTCTTGGACCATCAAAAACCTCTGCCAATGCAGATGGCTGTGTTTGTGTTTTGTTTTCGTTTCTGATATTTTGACAAAATACCACATGAATGAAATGCTGTTCAGCCGCTGTCTTGGACATAGTGAATGACTCTCCCGCCAGTAAATGAACAGCATAATGGCTTTAGCTCATAACCTCCTTCCAACCTCATTAATGCAGGTAATAAAAGTCTGCATGTGCCTTTTAGTGGAAGCATTGTTGTTAAACGTGCCTTACCACAACATGAGTGGAAATGCTCCAACTATGGCAGACCCCAGTAGGGCAGTAATAGGTGATACTTTTGGGTAGTAAGTAGTAGTATAGTAGTAGTAGAAATAAATTGCAATTTACTGACTCATGTGATTTCTGGTTTACGTGTTGTGTTAGATGTCTACTATGTGCAACGTAATGGGAAGAGTGGATATTAAGTTGGAGATATTCTGCATTGATAGCATGGGCTTACTTAGAGTACTGTGTTGTAGTGAGGCCTGCATCAGTTACAATTGATCTGGATTTGTGGGATCTTTAAAACCATTTGAAAAATATACAATTGACGGTCAGTGTATGATCTAACATAGTGGTGAATGTTTTTGGAAAACTGTTAGCACTGTGATGTCTTTTTTTCAAGCAGCAAGTAAAAGTAGACTGCTTATAAGTTCATTTTGTTTTTAAACTGTAAACAAGAGAGCATGGTAACACACAATCTGTCTTCAAGACTGAAACATTTCTGCATCCTGGAGTATGTATATAAACAGACACACTTGGCAAATAAATGATACACGTAAATTTAACTGCATTTGTCAAGATGAAAAATTTATGTTGTGAAACTTGTTTTCCTATTGTTCTAGTAGGGAGTGACTCTCCATGTAACTCCTACCTGCTGTCCTGACCTTTCCTGTCCTGACCTGTCCAATCCTGTCCTGTCCTGTTCTGTCCATCATGCCTTTGGCTTGCCTTGGCCCACCCGAGACAGTCACACAGAGACCTGTCACACAGATGTCCTTCTTAAAGACAGAGGGCGCTGTCTGCTGCACCCATCAGTCTCTGTGTGCCTCTATCCCCTGCTCAACCCAGCTTTGGCTCTGTTAACCCTCTTCTCTTCTCCCCTCCTCTCTCTCGCGGCACCAGGCGCGGCTCCCCTCCTGTTCATCTACCCTAAGCATTGCTGAGGTACTCCTGCATGGGTTTTAATGCATCGTTACAGCCGTTATCATGGCATCGGTTTCTACTCCCTCCATCTCCTCTGACTTCTTGCCTGGCATGATTGCTTCCCCACTAAACTTCCCATCCTTTCCCGTGTGTGTGTGTGTGTGTGTGTGTGTGTGTGTGTGTGCGCTGCCCCGCCTGCTGCCCTCCTGCTGTCTCTCTGTGGTCTACACACTGCCCACAATCTTTTCTGTTCCTCCACTTTGTTTGTGCGTGGATGTGGTCTTGTTGTGTTTTTCTTCTGATTTTGTCTTGTAGTAATGATGGTTCTGTTGCCCTCATTCTGGCACACGTACTGTATCTAACCCTCGCCTTGTTTCCACACTTACACACACCTCCAAAATAAACAAACCTCCATCACTTGGCATATTCCTCAGCTGCGTTTCAACCTCAGAACTGAAGTTGAAAGATGCTTGAATTATGTATTTGAATGAAAGTGATATTGCTTGCACAAACAAATTGGGTTTCTCTCCCTCTGTGTGCACACCTCAGTCCCTTTAACACTCACACATGCAGCAGCTTGTAACAGAGAAAATGCCCGGTAAATGTGCCGTAAGCCTTGGCAGCTCTCCAGTGCTTGCTACTCTGGTCAGTGCCCAATGACTCTGATCTGTAAGTGATAAAGACATGGCCATGCAAGGGCATGGAAGAGTGCTGACACTTGTCCAATATAATCTCAGAATCCATTGATTATCTGTAATTGGGCAGTAATGAAATCTGGACAAGAGTTTGGAAGCAGGCTTAAAAACATAATGTCCTTCGTAAAGGTGAGGTGAGGTAATGTTCAGTTTAATTTAATTTCTATCACATATGTTTTAAGATAATTGATCATTTATTTCTAAATAGAAAATATGCAGAATTTTTTTTATTTTTCCAAAAGGCAATTACTGTCTTGTGTACATAAACAGGTTGTGCTGTAAGTACATTACTTGTAACATGTTTGAAGGCATGATCAATACATATATAATACAATATGTTTTGCCAATTTTATCTTTTCACACGTTTTCGTATTGCCATGTGTGACAGCCATAAGTAACAACAAACTAACATCGATTGATCTGTACTGCTATCTGATTTTTAAAAAACTCTCAAACATTAATCAAGTATTGGTCAGGCTGGATTTTCAGTGCCATGACACATGTTTTGAAATAACTTTTTTATTTTCCTGATTCTGGATATAAATCAAAATGGCAAAATTCCCAAAATTGCCTCTTTTCCAATTTACTGTTCTCTTAGCAGTACAATTTAAAGTTCAATACCCAACAGATCACTGTTACTGGATAACGCAGTGCCTTCACTTGTAATCTGTATCGCTCCTCTAAGATGGTCCCATGTTGCCAGACAGAGGTCTTGGGTACGGCCAGGAGTCAAGCACTCACTTGGGTTCACTTCTTAACTTCCACTTGCACACACACTAATAGAGGGATGTGTCCACAGTAGCAGCACTACACTGGAACTGTTGTCAAATCCGATGAACTGGTTATGTTCTTCATCCATCTTTGGTTTTCTTGTCTTGTTGGTGGTTAGTGTTTTCTAGTGAGTTGTTTGCCACATATTTTTATTTTCAAATGTCCTTTGATCCGATTGCAGAATGTGTGTCAGGTTAGTACTGGCTTAGTTCTGGCATGTGTGTGTGCTTTCGGTGCGTTTGTGTGCAAAATGAAAAGACTGCGTGAGCAACTGTGTTTTAAAAGCGCCACTAACTGATATGTTTTGCTGATCAGAGTGGGTGTGCATGCTTGTTTCCTGCACTTGTGTGAGAGAGAGTGTGTGTGGCATGAAGCTGAGTGACTATCCTGTGGCTTCCCCCAGGCCTCACGGAGAGAATTCAGGGCTCACCTGGATGAGGTCATCACGCTCAAGTCAAGGTACTCTACCTTGGACCAGGTAAACCCGCTAACCTTCTACCAACCTCTTATCTACCGGCATGCAGGCCACTGGCATCCCACATAGCACCTAACCACACTAGTGACACACGTCACCACATGGACACAGGCAGGGAGGCAGCTGAGGAAGAGAGACACACACATTTTAGACAAGATCGCACTGGGCATCCCCTTTCTGTAGCATGTAGCTTTGAAACAGGTTAGCAAACCTGGTTTCATTCTTTGTTGATACTCCAAAAACAACAAATATTATATACACAATATATGGTGGCATATGTTAAGCTGCAGTGGAAGAAATAAGAGAAACAAAAGTTAAAATCCAGAGAAGTGAAGATGTCACAGTGCAAAATATCAAGGCAGGGTGATACTAGTAGTGTAGACCCCATAGACCCCATTTACATGTGTTATTAGCATGTGATTTGTGTCTGGATATCTTAGGCATTGAAATTGGAATGCCAACAGATTGTCAAGACCACTTTTTTAGATGATCTGGCTCGCATTGTGATGGGATCTCAGCCAGGTGTGAATGAAGTCTGTGCATCAAGTCCCTGCAAACATATTTTCTCAATCCACTTCTCACTGTGAGCGAGGGGGACACACATGACCACATAGTTTATTTTAGGTAATGTTAACGGTTTAAATTATTTCACGTTAGAGATTTCTGTATGTGCTGTGTCTTCAGTGCTCTTCTCACTGGTTTGAGGTGGGCAGGGCTCAGCTGGAAAATGTTAAATTATATGTATGTTGCCAGCAATGTTGAACCACACCCACACAGTCCTGATGCAACAGATTAGCTGAGGTTTCGGGTGTTAAACACTAATACTGTAGGAGTTTTTTCATTAGCTTAAATTGATTGTTGCTTATTTCCTCAATAATATTTAATGTGATAGGGAAATACTTTTGAAACCATGTTTATAGAGGCTTTAAGAAAAAAATGTACCCAACAAGCTGAAAGGTCACCTCTTGTATAAAGCTATAAACGACCCCTTCCGAAGGAAAATTACGTAGGGCCCATACTACAGGATCCCTCCCACTGACCTGGAACATCTCGCGTTTGTTCTACCTAAACTGCATATTGAGATCAGATCACAATGTTAGCAAAATTGAGATAAGAAGAACGCTTATTGATAACCAAGGCCAGTGAGCTGATATTATTAGATCGCATGTTAATACCAGGTGTAAATGGGGTCTTAGTCTTGATTTTGCAAACACAAACATACATTTTTTTTTACACTTCCCCATATAACAGATTTCCACGGGGAGGGGTGAGGTGTGTACTGTGTAGGTCATTCGGAGATAGGTTTTCAAGTTAGTGTGGTGACACACATGGCTTATTGTGGGCGAAAAAAACAAAGTTAACCATAAAAGGCAAAGAAATAAAGCAGAAATAAATTAATTTGGACAATGTTGCCCCTCTAGAAGTTTCCCTGTGTATCACCAGCTTTAGTGGTCAGCAGCATTTTTCCCCATTGCCTCTCTCTCTCCACCAGCACTCATCCTCTCTCATTCATCACCCATCTGGTCTTTTGACATGACTTGTGTATCAGTGGCTGGTGATGTTGTAGTGTTTCGTTGTTGCGGAGTGTATGATTGTATCTGTGTGTAAGTACCGGGTGTGAATCTGAGCGTGAGTGTGTCAGGGTTTTGGTCTATTGATAAGCCCAAGAGAAGCCAAGAGTGCAGTCAGTGGAGAGCTGATGCCTTCACTATAACACTTCCTCGCAGGTGTGTCACTTCCCGCTGTCGTTTCTCCCCCTCAGGCTCTTGCCTCCACTCCCCAGGGAGGAGGACTTAGCTCTGGATTGCCACTGTAGCATTTTGTCCTGTCCTCTACCACACTGTCGTTATCAATCCAGTGTTTTGTCCTCTGCTCCATCTCTCTCCCTCTCTTGCCCTTTCCCATGGGGCGAGGCAGCTGAAGCCGGATGAAACGAGCCTCCCTGCCCTGTCACAGCCCTCTCCTCGTCACGGCGGATGGATAAATCTTCCCCGTTTTGCATAATTTGTTTGACAGCTCCTTTGTTTTTGCTGAGCTCAGCACCGCGGCGGTTACATCCCATCATTTTCTGGAGCATCTCCTCAGCCGGTTGGTTATTGGCCCCATCGATTTTCACCAGGCAGCTCACAGCCCCCAGAGCCACGTGTCTCGCTGACCTGGCCACACTCACTATTCTGTGTCCGTAGACGACACCACCTCCAATCGCTCCCCAGCCGATTGATCTTCCTGGCAGATCTCCATGACAACCTGTCGTCAGGCTGTTTCCTTGGCGACGATAGGGTTGGCGGGTAGAGTGATTAGTGTTTCTGGCATGAAGGCCACTGTGTTTTTTTTGTTTTTTTTTTGTGTGTGTCTGCATTCCCAGCATACTGCAACGTGCCATTAAGACAACTGAAAGTGTCGTTGTCAAGCCCAAATCCTCAGACACACACACTCACGCAGATACGTATGGCTTTCAGTGACTTTATTTTGATTTTAATTCATATATTTTTGCTTATTATAGGAGTTTCTGTTTCTGTTAAACCTGTTCTCTTTGTGTTTGTGGGTATGAGGTGTGCTTGTTAACATTTGCATCCCTCATATGAGCTCATTCTCTTCTCTCACTTGGTCAGTTTCTCATCAGGAACGGGGGATTGCAGTGGAGGGTAGATTAGAAAGATTGTGAGAGTGTTTGACAGTCTGCCTTTTCGGCCCAACCTCACCCCCCCACCATATGTCCAACATCTCATTCTGCTTCTGCACTCATTCTCCACATATCCTTCTCACTTCCTAACTCACCCCAACCCCCTGTAGCTTTTCCACTGTGTTCATCTCCATATGCAAAGCCCCCCCCTCCCCCCCCCCATGGCTCTCTGATGGTATGATCTTTTCTACTTAACTATTTTTTGCCATACTGAGGTCCTGTTTTCCACCGGTGTCAATCATAGTGTTATCATTCCACACTGCATCAAGGTATTTTAGCTGTTTCTTAGGGAACAGTGACTGTATATGTACTGCATTAACCCTAGCTGCAAGATAGATTATTGATACATTACTATAAAGGCGTATGTGAAAAAGGATTAAGAGGTAGAAAACGTGTGATTCCTGTGGTTTGTCTGTGTGTGTAAAGAGACTAGATAGGTAGTGAGATTCTGATGTAATTGTTCTGCGTTAATCGTGTCATTTTTATTTTTTTTTAGATGTCTTTTGCAGTTCTTTTAAAGCAAGGCACACCTTGTACGAAAATGTCCTAGCTGTCGCTCGTTAGTTTTCATATGTGCTTTTCAATGTCTGCAAGTTTGATCTGTGTCTTGCTGTAGGTGTATTTAGCTCCCTTAATCCCCACCTTTGTCTTTTTTCTGTCTTTTTTTTTCATCATACTTCTCCCTCTCTCTATATGAGGGGCTGTACAGTTGTGGCAAATATCTCCTAGCAACCACAGCTGGCGCCATCATGGAGATCCAATGGAAAATAGGCTGTATACAAAAATCTGTCAGAAAAAAAACAAGTAAGCTAAAAGAACAGATACAGTTGCAGATTTTAAAATCAGTACCATATTCATACACATATACCTGCTGCACATGTGGTTCATTGAGATCAATTTTAATAATGTTGTGAGGAGTTAGAAATGGTATATTTGTGTGACACAGTAAACTGTCTATTTCTCATCCTTCTGGATTTTGTCTCTACTCAGATGCAAAAGAGTTGTAGCTCGAGAAGAGTAAACTCAATTAACAGCAACAACCTTTTTGGTCTTGAATAGCTAGCTCAAAATTTTTATTTAAATAAGCAACGTTGCTGTTATTATACAACTACTAGATGATGCATTGCTTCTGATAAATGTGTTAGCTAGTGCTCAAATCAAAGTTAAAGATTTCATTTACCAGGACTGTAATATGTAGTTGGTCAGTCCATGTACTTGACAACTTATTCGCCCGCTACTACTAATATCACAATGGTTTGTTTGCCTCTCAGTATGAATTATCTACCCTGTCTGTGGCACTACTAAGTGGCAGTACTAAGTAAACATAAATATAAAGTTAATTCAAAAAAAGGCTAGGACGTTGTATGTAGGACTAGAATAAACTACTGTGGGGGGGGGGGGGGCTGTCTCCATGCCAGCTTGCTCACTGAGTGACAGCACACCACACTAGGCCCAGCACAGCACACCCGTCATAACTGCCGTCGTTAAAGTAGTGAATTCCCCTGTGTGATTTTACGCAGATCATTGTTTATTATGTGTCTGGTAACAACTATAACCGTACACCCATGATGAAGTGTGATTTGCTTGAATATGCTGGACTGTTCAAAAAAGTCGATGCCTGATGGAATGTGATTGTATTGCAGAATCAAATAAAGTATAAAAATGTGTGTGTTCGTGGTAGTGTAGGAACATGTCACCCTGTGCAACAATTTAGCTCACTGTTTATTTTTTAATAGTTTTTGGACAACAACAGAGCTGTATGGCACTGAGGAATCAGCTCTGTCAGGTTTTGGCTACAGAGGCAAGACTTTTTAGAAGCATTGGTTCATTGTTGGTGTTTCATGGGATTTGTTGACTTTAAAAATAACAGAATATCACCAGGTTTATTGTTTAAGAATGACCAGATGACCAGATAGTTAGCTAACCGGATACATTATCTCATTCCAAAATAATACTTACAGTTGGCCGAAGTCAAAAACTGCACAAAAATGTGCCTCTGCAACCGAATTATTTTTGAGTAAAGTTGTATAATTGAAAATGCCATCAGCAATTCATCTTCAATGTTGCTCCAGAGCTTAGAGGGCCCCTAGTATGGATGCCACAGGGCACATTATGCCACCTGAAAGCCCAGTACGCTTTCTTTCTCTCTTTTTCTCTTTCTTTCTGTCTGTCCCAGTTCTCTCTTTGCTGCTCCTCTCCCTTTTCCTGCTAGGGATGCCTGTCGTAGTGGATGCCTGTCTGTCCTTTCGTCTGTATGTCTGTCTTGTCTGTCTTGTCTGTCTGTCTGTCTGTCTGTCTGTCTGTAGTGTTGTGGTTGCCCGGACAGATGCACTGATGCCTGTGATTCGATGCTTTATCTCCACTAGCTCCAGTGTAGGTTGGAGGGGCTTAAAGATGATCGCAGGAGGACCTTCAGCTCTCGAGTAACTATCCCGCCCCCCCCCCCTCCTGCCTTTCCCTCACCCTCCTCCGAGGAGCGCGCAAAACAAACGCCCCGCTCTGTGTCCCTCCCCACCCTTCTCCCTCCTCGCTTGCCTAGCTATCTCTCTGGCTCTGGCTCACTCTCTTTTTCTGTATGTCTCTCTATCTGTCTGTTGCCACTGGTCTATTTTCTCATTCTGAATCTGTCTGTCGTTCACTCACGTCACTCTATCTCACTATTTCTCTGTCCGGTCTGTTAGGTTCTTTCCTTTCTCCGTCTACCACGCACACTTATTCTGTTGTTGTTCACTTTCTCTCTCTCTTCCTCTTCTTCCATCTGTCTATCTGTCTATCTGTTTCTGTCTTCCCGGTTAACATGCTCTGCTTTCAGTAGCTATGTCTGGTGTGCTGGATGTCTGTTAAGTAGATGCCATCAGGCCGCTCTAATGGTCTTTATTGTTTTTGTTCTTTTCTTCCTGTTTTCCCTCCTTTCTGCTATGTCTGGGCTCTGTAGTTTAGTGAAGTCTGTCTAGTCCGTGCTTCCTGTTTTTGTTTTCTTTCCGGGCTGTGGGACCACGTCATGCTGATCCTCATCCTTCCACCCGCTATCTCTCTCTCTGTCTACCTATCTGTCTTTTTTTTCTATATCTCTGTCTCTCCATCCCTCCTCCTACACCATCCCACCCACCTTGCCCCACCTCTCATCTCCCACCCTCTCACCTTGGCTGTTTGGTGCCCAGTGGTGTCACAGTATTAGCCTAGTTATGATGTTGTTGAGGGAGGGGAGGAGGGAGAAAGGGGTGGGTGGGTGGGTGGGTAGAGAGACCTTCACCTTCGCCATGGGTGTTTTGGTTCTCCATACGCCACACACTGCCCACACCCAACTTATGTGATAGCATCAGGTTACAGAGGATATTGAAATGCAGCAATTGCAACAAAGAAAAGGAGGACTGTCAGAACCCAGGGAGACTGAAAGGCATGATAGGGCAGACAGAACATGACTGACAGACAACCAGGCAATTAGGTATGTCAGTCAACACATATGAATATAGGTAGATAGTCAGGCCAGAAAGCAGGCAGGAAGATTAATGGAAAGCTAACAACTGTCCCAAATCAAAATCAAGCCTAACTTTAAAAAAAAAAAAAGATACTTGAAGTCTGCCCTTTCTAAAATTTTGGCATCAGACTTGATTTTGGCTCATTGTATATACTTTCACTGCACCCAGAGCTATATTGGTGTAGTTGTACAAAGGAATACTTATACTATCATTTTGTGCCAATCTTGTAGCCCTATAAATTGCAACTTGTGATTCTGCTTCCCTTATTTAGTCATATCACGAGGCTGAGCTTCCCAAAAGCATGCTCATACATTACTCTAAGACAACATTTTCTTTATAAGGGGTTTTGAAGTGCTGTGTAACATTGATGCATCTGTGCTAACAAACACCATGGGAGGTTGGCAGCCTCTAACAATAGTGGTGAGATGAAAAGGGTACCACTTCTACTTGGCAGTTGCCACCTTTTGTATACCCCCTTTGTGTTCTCGCATTAATTTGCCACTAGTCATCCACGTTGCACTTAAAATTAGGTGCAAATTGATCAGATTCCATTGGGAAACCAATGAAATTTGATCAGATTAGTTTTACTGTATTATAACAAATGTTCTCCCATTACAGTCAAAGCTAAAGCCAGGTTTAAAAAGCAGGTTTTGAGTATGTACTTTTGTGTGTTCCCACTGAAAAGTGACAACATTAAGTATACTTAAGTATACTAAAAAGTCAGTATTCCTGCTTGATTATGAGTGATTTAAGTGTAATGGCAATTAACTAAATTGTCAAACAATGCATTTCATAAGAGAAGAAGGGGGGGGGGGGGGGTGTATGCAGGTAGATAGGTAAGTAGGGTAGACAGGCAGGTATGCGTGGCCAATCATTTCATTTGGACCATTTTTGTATCAGAGCATTTGATTTATTGATGTTGCTGTTGGGGACGTAAAGTCAATTTTTAACAAATATAACAATAATAATTTAATTTGACAAATATATATTAGTTATAAACAATACCTGCACTACTTTCACATTTGTTTGTTCTCACTCACCATTAACAACAGTTAGCTGTAGTCTCCAGATAGTTTTGGGAAGCTCAGCCCAGTTTTAACCCACTCCGCTCCCCTGTGCTAGTGCAGCTACCGGCAAAAGCAGTTTTCTGAGAAATCTGACCGTCCTGCACCACATCTGAACAGCCACTATCTACACTGGACACTACATTTCCACTACATTTGATGTTACACCGTAGCATAGTTAATACATCTTTTATGACTTTGTGATACAGTATTGTCACCCTGTATGTTGTTGCCTTTGTCCATATATTCCTTTTAGTGCTTTGATCTAATAGTGATGTGACATGTCAGTGCATTTATCAGTGTGAATATCACCTGTGATACGATGATGTAGTGTACAGTAAGTGATGATAATGGTAATGCAGGAGATGCAGCCATCTCCCAATAGCAGGACAAAGTGCACAGTGTAGTGTGACACGGTTCTTGTCAATGCATCTGAATGTTGTATAAACAGCTTCTCATCTCAAGCATGTCAAAAGAGCAGCCTGGTTTATCTCAAATTACCACTACCTCTGCTGTCTCTTTCTTTTTGCCCTTCGTCTTTCTCTCCCCAATCGCTCTCTCCATCTTTAGGTGCAGTCACGATGCAGCAGCAAAGAAAATATCCTAAGATCAAGTGAGTACTAAGTTTCCTATTCAAGAGCACGCTCCCTTTTCTCCGAGTCATATCTGTATGTATCCAAGTGTGCTCTCAAACGCACATAAATAAGATTTTACATGTGCGTGTGACAATGCGAGCACAGTATGCTTGGCTGTGTGTGGCTGCGGTGTTATGGTTGTTTGTGTGTGTGTGTGTGTGTGTGTGTGTGTGTGTGTGTGTGTGTGCATGTGATGTTTTGCCAGGGGTTGTTAAGCCTCATGTTAAGCATCAGAATATGCTGTGGAAGCGTAAGTGTATGTTTGAAGGGAAGAAATTGGGTCAAGCGAAATCAAAGCACAGCGCCTATTCTTCGCTGAGAGGCAGAGGGGGAGAGCGAGGCAGAGAGAGATAAAGGGAGAAGGAGAGAGAGAGCAGATTACATATTAGTTACACCTGGCTTTGTTCCTTTTACCTTTGGAATTATTAAAGAGGTATTATTAGACCAACATGGCTGCTATCGAGCACCTCTATCATCCAGCTGGGTTCCACAGCTTCTGCAAACAAACAGGACTATTTCTTGCCAATCCCTCCTCATGGCGTTTAAATGGTGTTATTGCATACGTACATGCAGTGAAAAAATAAATCATGTTAATCCAGTTATCATGGTAACAGTGACGTGAAAAAAACGTGTTAATTTATATAATTGTATGTTATATTTCATGTCAGGTCCTTTTGGAATTTGACCTTTGCTGCTACAGCTGCAAACCCAGTGCACTCAGATTAAAACATTTAATTTCTCAGTAGATATTTATTTATTAGGTTCTTCTGTGGCTCTTGTGTGTTTGTCTCCAGAGATAGTTGAGTGGTTCTGCTATTCCCTGCCATTTGGAGCCACATAGTTGCCTTCACTGTCTCGGGATTGAGTCCCAGCAGAGCTCTCACTTCTCTCCCTCCCCTCTGTCTTCCTCTCAACTTTCAAACTGTCTAAATAAAGAATTAAAATGCTAAAAATGGTGAGTGGACACAAGTTTTCCTGACTGAGGGCAGGCTAGGCTTACATTGTAAAGCTTGGGTCTAGAGACTGAAATCACTCCCTTGTCACTACTCAGTGTGCTATATTTGCTTTATGCCATTTAATGCCATGTGTAATTGTATTTACTGTCCAAGAAAAAAAGTACTTCAATAGAACTAATAATAACAGTAATAGGATACCACACCCACCAGTGATTTTGTCATAAAGGTCTTAGTCTTGATCACAACAGTTAAAAAACTATTTCACGCGATCTATATCAAAATCATTTTATATGTGATGTGTTTAAAAAATGAATATCAATAAATATACCATAAAAATGCAATATGGGTTAGGCTCTGCATTGTATTAATGTAATGTAGAAATTAGCGAAGGAGGGAATGTGAGTTATTTCAGACAAAGCATAGGTCTACTACAGATAAACTCTTCCTGTTTTATGACATGGTTTGATTTTGTGACCACCATATCATGACAGTGTATGTAATGTTGCATGTCTTCCCAGGTCACAGTGCAGTGGACATCACCAAGGTGGCCCGGAGGCACCGCATGTCCCCCTTCCCACTCACCTCCATGGACAAGGCCTTCATCACTGTGCTGGAGATGACTGCTGTCCTGGGCACTGAGATCATCAACTACAGAGGTAAGGAGAACAGATGTTTGGTTCACTTTAAACTTTTATGCTGTCCAGTAAATGAAACATCTGCAGCATATCTTCTTCACACCCACTTAATCCCATTGGTCACAAAAGTGACTGTATTTTTTATTGCATTTCAAGCAAATATTGAAATAATAAAGGGTCTAAATGAAATATGTGCAGTGTCACATGTTTAGTGTAAACTGTCACATGACGAGAGCTGTTTACTTCCTGGTTGCACCATGAGAAATGGATGGCTGCATCAAACCTCCCAAACAAAAGGTTAGTTAAGTAAGTTAACATAAAGATTGGATGGAGAGTTTCGGTACACATTATCTTTAAGGGGTCTAGTATTAATACATGCATTTGCATTTACTCAACTTTCTTCAATGTGGTCATAGATTGAACATTTTGACGGCAGCAATAGTGACCAGTGGGAAAACACAGGGCATCTAGTTATACACATTTATAGTTCTTGTTGTACCTAACTTTCTGCTTTGTTTTTTTCTTGTAGTTTAATTTTGTGTTCTGGGTATGTAGGATCTAGGCAACCACCCAGACAAGGTGTGCACCATGATATTAAAAAAAATACCCCTCTCACCCCTCATGGGATGGTGTGTGTTACAAGCTCAGGTCCTATACCAGAGGCCTGGGGGTTTGAGGGTTCTTTGTGGTATCTTAGCTGTTCCTAGGACTGCACTCATCTGGACAAAGACACCAGAAGTTAGCCTGGAATCATCTGGAACCACTCGCCCAGTTTGGGGGTCCAGTCCCTAGTATTTGATTACTACTGGCACCACTGTTGCTTTTACTCTCCACATCTTTTCTAGCTCCTCTTTCAGCCCTTGGTATTTTTTGAGCTTCTCGTGTTCCTTCTTCTTAATGTTGCTGTCGCTTGGGATTGCCACATCTATCACTGCTGCCTTCTTCTGCTGTTTGTTGATCAACACGATGTCTGGTTGTTTAGTCATTCTCGTTCTTGAAGCCCCACAGGATCTTAGCATTCTCAACCACCTTACCAGCTCACACTCCTGGCAGATGTTCCTGTATACCAGGGGTCGGCAACCTTTTCTGTGATGAGTGTCTATATATATATATACAAAGATTAATACATCCAGTGTGCCAGCAGCATTTGTTAATGCATATGTCATTTATTTTCAGTTTATGCAGCAGTTAGACAGATTTTAATTTACACTTGACCTTGTTAATAATAATAGACATTTAATAAATAGGGCGGTCAAGCGATTAAAAAAAAATTAATCTAATTAATTACAAGTTTTGCAAATTGTCTTTAGTTTTTTAATTAATTATTCGAATGAATTGAAATGAATCACATGATAAGCATTTAAAATATTCTAATTCAAATAGATTTTGGTAGATGAGTGCATCAATGATAATAAAGAAACTTATTTAGCTAAATATCTTTATTTTCCATTCATAACCTTTTTTTTCACTGTTCATATCCAATAACAATGCCACAACAATTTTTTTTAAATACTAAGACCCTCAAGAAACAGTTGTCCAGCGATAAAACCCACACGAGGAAAGCGTTGTGAGGATTAAATTCACGTTGTATGTGAACACAGTGGAGGACACCTGCCTCCTTGGTTTGTGCAAGTCACCACTGCTGAACAAGACCCGGTCATACCTGAGATGGAACACTTAAGTCACAGTTTACCGTTAACTACCAACATGTCATGTGTGCAGTCAGTCAGAAGGCTAAAATAGTTACAAATGCCTCTTGTGCCAACATTTTTTCACCATATTTACCTTCTCTGTTGCACTTGTCACACAAACCGGATGGAAAGTAAACTCCTTTGATATGCGCTGTAGAGGCAATCAGATTACAGCAAAAATGAGGATCAGTGCAAGTCAAAATTGTTTTAGTTTGGCCCCCACAGACAGCATTCCGCTGCAGCTGACCGGTCGGTCGGTCGGCCTAGTCGCGGATGTTAAGGTACTACGATTAATCCTGCGTTAAAATATAAGGCGTTATTTTTTCAATATATCTATTGTTTTGACAACCCTAAAAATAATAATGTCAAAATGAATTAATCATGGTGGTTGATCGTGTGTTTTTTCACTAACTTAATGTAATATTAAACAACGTAGCGGCATATGTCAATATTGTAGGATTGAGTTTGCTTTCTCACGTGCCACTTAAAATGTCTCTGCGTGCCCCCGCTAGCACGCGTGCCATAGGTTGCCGACTGCTGTATACCATGCCAGCTACCTGGTTATGGCATTCCTGGCATGGCTGTTCCTGCCTGCGTCTTACACCCAGCTGTGATGTTCCCAGGTTCTCTTCACATACACAGTCTGAGCCTGGAGCCCTGCCTGGTGTGGTAGACCCCAGCCTCTATTGGGATTTGGGATGAAACCCTCCATGGATTGTAAGGAGCTTCCTTGTCTTGATGTCAGTAGCCTCTATCTCCTCCCTTGGCCAGTTTATTATACCTACAGGGTATCTGATGACTAGCAGGGCGTATGTGTTAATGGCTTGGATCTTGTTCTTCCCATTCAGCTGACTTTTCAGGACCTGCCTTACACTTTGTAGGTATTTGGCTATGGCTGACTTCAATTGTTGCCTCCTTATGGTTTCCATTTGCCTGATCCCAAGGTATTTGTGCTGTCCTGAACATCTGCAATGTTGCCTTCTGGTAGTTCAACGCCTATCATTTTCCCTCTTCTTGATACCATCCAACCACACTTGTCCAGTACGAATGACATTCCAATGTCGTTGCTGTAAATCCTAATGGTATGGATCAATCGATGTCTCGCTCATTCCTGACATACAGCTTGATGTCATCCATGTACCGGAGGTGAGTGATGGATGTTTCACTTCGGAACCGGTTTCCGTAGCCATTCTTTGGGATTACCTGGCTAAGGTGATTCAGGCCTATGCAGAACAGCAGCAGTGCATCACACCTTGGTATGACGCACTTGATGGTGACTTGTGCAATTGACTTTGAGTTGGCTTGTAGAAACCCACCAAGTTCTTGATGTGTGCTCTCTTAGTGTCCTGTTGATCTTGTACATTTCCAAGCATTCCAGTATCCATGTATTTGGCATTTGACCGTAGGCTTTCTGGTAGTCAATCCAGGCGGTGCTCAGGTTGGTCTGCCTGGACTTGCAGTTGCATATTTTCTTTTGCTTAGTGTAGGCCACTTCTTGAATGGATATTCTACACAAACAACTGTTCACAATGAATATTGCACTAAAGTACAGGTTCAAATGTTACAACAAAGTTACACTATAATATATACAATACATGCACTAACGTTACAATGCTAAAATCTGTTGTTATTTGTCTTTGCTCTCAGAATTTTCAGTGTTGTATAAGGGATTTTGACATGTAAGTCAGTTACGCTACAATAAGATAGAGCATTTTAGTTTCAATGCTGGGAACTGCCATTAACAGTTTTAAATGTGTTAATAACTGGTCTGGGATGCATAGAAATTTTGATGACTGCACAGGAGAAATTAGTTGATTCAGGATACAACGCATGATCCCACCAGTCACAATTGTGATCAACCATAAAACACACTGTTTCACCTACTTTTCCATGTAAATTTAAAAAAAGAATGATTCATTATTTTAAAGGGTTACTAATGACATATGATTTTGATATTTTTATATCTGGGAAAATTTCGGGATTAAATGGGTTAAATGTCCTGAATGTGTCAGTCTTGCCCCCTTGATGTCTCCAATTTACCCTCCTATAATGTCTGCTGACATCAGCCACTGAGCATGCTGGGATGTTGAGGTGTCACACCTTTCAGATCCATGTAGCAACATGCTCTCCCTAAGTTCACATGACAGCATTTAAACACTCTCCATCCACAACTGGACACCTAACTGAATCAGCAGTCTCTGTCTGCATGTCACAGTGTCAGTTACACAGACAATCAAATGTGCACACAGAAAAATGTATTACAAGGGCACATACAAAACATGTGTGATTAACCTTTTCGGAAAAGACTATTTTCAATGCAACACTACGCCTTTTTCATGCCCCTTTATTGTGTTTTTATTAGGACTGAGCACGTTAACAAGTTATTATCGCGTTAACGCTTTAAGTAATTAATGCCGACAATCATGTTATCGCACGTTAACGCAGTTTTTATTATTATTATTATATTATTAAGTCCGTTGCTCGCTGCTCTGTATACACATAGGCCTACAGTCAAACCATGGGTCACAGGAGGGGTGGGATGTTGATTACCCTGCAAATCACCCACCCAAACAAGCAGCAGAGGGAGGCTTCGGCAGACTACGTTAGATGCAGCGTGAGGGAGAAGTAGAACAAACACAAGACAAGCGATCAAATGCCATAGCGAAGTGGGTAGCTACACACTGCACTGGTAGCCGAGCTGCAGTTAATATACCTCTAGTTCGGTATTATAGTCTGTTCTGAGCGTATTAGCACTGCCAAATGTAAGTGTGTAACTGAAAAGTAAGTTTGATGTCAGATTGCAGCTGAAGCCTCTTTGTTGGAATAATTAGCTCACTACTTTGTGCCACTCTGTGTTGCCTTTGGAAATGCTGTATTACTGAAGACTACTGTGTATGATCGGTGGACAAGCTTTGATATCCCCAATATATAATATGAGGGTACAGACCTAAGTATAAATACTAAAATAAAGTTTCAGAAATTTAGTGAACGTTGCAGAATTAGCAAGAGACAGCTCGATTTTGAAAGTATTCTCCCTTCAGGCCTCACTCCAAAGACGCTCCCCCAAAACACATTTTCATTTGCAAGGAGTGCACTAGTAGAGCCCACAGGTAGTTAGTTAGACAGGCAGGTAGGCCTCTGGACCGAATGAAATGATTGGCCGTGCTTATTAGAGCCCTGCAACAGCCACAGATACCACCTTTTTATTTTTGTGTCAGAACATTTGATTTAGTGATTGCTGTCGGGAAGTATGAGAATTTCAACAAATATTACAAAAAATGTTGAAATCAGTTGCCTACCTCAGCCCAGTCCAGTTAAGCTGAGGTTAATATGCCCACCAGAAGGCATTGTCAGCTCTCTGCTCATGTGGCATAGCCGACCATTTACGGGAATGTTCATAGCAATTGTAGTGTAGTTTGTGGAGGCTCTATTACTGACTTCCACTATAACCAGGTACTCATTATGCAGTCTGTTTGCTCCCTGTTTATTGTTTCAAGTTATTTATGTCAGATTTGTTGGGTACTATACTATAGATTGAGATAATCTGTATTTTTCGTTTTTTTTCTACAATATTTGGAGGATTCTGGGTCCTGAAAATCTAAAACATTTACAAGGAAATCATTAACTCAACACACAAGAGTGAATACTGCTGCAACGATACAGACTAGCCCTAATTAGTTTTCCAAGTGAATGATAAAGTTGGATGTGTAAATAAGCCGCCGTTTGCTAACAATTTGCCATAGCAACTTAAAAGGTGATAATATGACAATAGTGTGTTTACTGCCTGTTCCTATTATCGCCAAAAGAAAACTGTTTAATTAAAAAGTGAAAGATTTAGAAGGTGAGATAGAAAAAAAAATCTTATTCACATTCATTAATGTATGTTTTTAATGCATCTTTGTAGTTGTATTTGCATGTCTAAATAAACAGATACACCTGTGGGTCTAGTCATCCTTCTAGCAGGGTGGCCTCAGCACCAGTGGGGGGTGACACAGGCCCAGAGGGGGAAATACAAGCTCTTTAATTCATCTCTGAAGAGGGGGTAGCGAGGAGTGCAGGCAATAATAGCTTGCGGCGCACATGACTTCTAGATCAATGACGGTAGAAGGAACACTCTTTTTTTTTTCCTGGGTGAAAAATCATGTTTCATGTTCTTAGAGAGGAGAGAGAATTGGAGGAGTTGCAGGAGCACCGTTCTGAGGAGGACAGTGGAATAAGGAGGAGAGGAGGATGGGAAATGAGAGATGAAATATTTAGAGAGACAACAGCAGGTTTAAAGACGTGTTAATTAGTGAGCTTTAGAAGAACTATGTAGATTTTGTTACCTTTGGACAAAGCCAGGCTTGCTGTTTCCACCTGTTTCCAATCTCTGTGCTAAATTAAGCTAACTAGCTACAGGCTGTAGCTTCATATTTACACTACATACATGAGTGGTATCATTCTTCTCATCTAACACCCAAAAATGGCAAACTATTCCTTTAATTCCCATCTATCTATGTGCAAGAATATATGTACACAGCTATTGTATGTTTAGGATGAGTGTGGCGGTGCGCATGCCTATGTTTATATCAGCCTCAGAAGATTATAAGTAGAAGATTATTTGGACCAGTGATGTCCCAGCGCCCCTTGATTTAATGACCATTATATAACCCCTTTAAAAACTTGGACCAACTGAAAGTGATGTTTGGCAAAGCATCAAATCAAATACAAATTTTGCTCCAGCAACAAGACATCACCTCTGTTCTATTTTTATTCACAACTCAGCTCCAACACATGGTTTTAACAAGCTGTTTAAATACCAGCTTGGAATCAGTAGCGGTTGTGAAAATACACCAGAATATCTCAGATGAAATGCTGCTCACCTTAAAAAAAGATGTAAGGATAGGACACGTCCAACAAGCCTATGTGTCTTCATCTACCATTGAGATGCATTATTTACAGCAGCTCGTTATGACTGTCATATAGTAAGCCGATGTGTGTGTGCATGTGTGGGTGTCTGTATGTGTTCATGCATATTTTTTTCCCTTCAACTCATTTATATCAAAGCTTAGATCTTCATATTAATACCCACATAATCATAGCATAAAGGCTTTGAGATATGCTATATATAGCCACACAGCAGCTTAAGGTATTTTATTGCCAGAATTTTTCTTCTCCACCCACTCGCCCTCTGTCTTTTTCTGTCTTTTCTTTCCTTCCCTCGCTCTCTCTGAGCTATTGTCTCTGTGCAGAGTCTTTGTTCTTCCTACACAAATGTTTCCTGAGTGTTTTTAAGTTGTCTGGCTGGTGGAAGTGATTAAGAAACTTGGATAGGGACACTTGCAAGCCTCCACTTGATGTATGTGCATCAGTGAAGCTGAAATAGAAAAGGAAAGTGTGTCTGTGTGTGCTGGTCAGGTGGTAAGTTGTACACAGAGATCCTGATGCATGGTGTCACACTATGTCTCCCTTTAAAATACACACACAAAACACATATACACACCTCCGGCACATATGCCCCGCTGTATCTTCATCTAAATCGGATACACTGTCTCCCTCACCCCCTCTACCTCTGTCTCTCTTTCTCTCTCCAGCTGTCGCTCTTTCCCTCCGCCACCCTTCGCCCAGCTTCTCCTCACACCCATGTTCTTCCTCTTCTCCCACAGATGGGATGGGTCGAGTCCTGGCTCAGGACGTTTATGCCAAAGACAACCTGCCACCCTTTCCTGCTTCTGTCAAGGATGGTTATGCTGTGAGAGGTAAGTAGGGTACAGGTGATTTAAAATATGTTCCTTGCATTAGAGTCAGTTTTGCTGAAACAATGTAGATACAATAAAAAAAGGGTTGATGTTAAAACTGTAAAACAACAGTTTAAATATTCAAACTAAGACCTCAAAAACATGTCACTGTAAAAGAAATGGGAACAGTTTCAAAGTGCATGGGCTAATAATTTATGCTACATTTATTCAGATTCATAATAAATATAATTTTTCCTACTTATTCAAAACTGCATTAATACTACTGATTTTGAAGTGATGCAAGGATTAGTAGATAAGTTTAATATATTGTTCTGTATAAGTTCTCGTCCCGATGATGCTTTGCATTTACATAGCTGATTGCTTTTGATTAGATGGTGCTGCAGACAGGGGTGTTGCACTAAAACCTGGGCCATGTACATAAAAATTCTCTATGGGCCCCTCTCCGCAGCCTGGTGCCAACAGTGTCCATGAGACTGTCTATTCAGAGTCACTGTTTTGTTTTCTTAAGAGAAAGTTGCAGAACTAACCAGGCCAGTGTGTCTGTCCTTCTGAAAAAAATGACCTGACTGTCCTACTTGAAGATGAACAGGACAATGGGGCAGTGGAGAACTGCCTCAGGAGCTATGTAAGGGCTTCTTCTGCCAGGTTGACCTGAAGGGAGATTGAGGCTCTGCATTGTGGGACGTGGAGAGGGTTGTCCTCCATAGCTGCCAGGGGGAGAACAAGTGGCTTTGTTCAGAGATTTGGGTTTCAAAGAGTTTCATTCCTATGGCGACACTAACTCCTTAGAGAAGTTTTCTAGGTGAGATCCAGTCAAACTTGGTTGACTGGTTTTGGTCAAGAAATCTGCGTCTGGGAGTCCTGCAAAGCCATAAGGGCAAGGTTAACCTGGAGATCAGGCTGGCAGCTTGTAAGCTCCAGGCAGCTCAAGAACTCTTGCATGTAACATCTGTTGTTGGCTCTTGCCGATGGACTAGGAGGAGCAGAACACCACAGATCTCTCTGGTTTTATGCACCTGGCTTGAGGGACTGTTGCCTATTAAGGCATACATTTCAGATTTTAGAGATTTTAGTGCCTAGACTGTGACACATCCATGTACCTGGACACAGGGATGTGCTGAGGCCTGATGGTGCCAAAGAGTGCGCAAGTCAGAAGTTCACTCTCTGTGACAGCATCATCTGAAATGAAGGAGTGTCAGGAGAAAAGAAGACTGCTGACTGTAGTAGGTGTTAATGCCAAGAACTGCAAAGTTATGAAGCAGACGTTTCCTCAGAGGTCAGCGAACATATAGGCAAAGATAGAGCATAGAGTCCAATGACAAACAGCTTTTGTGCTGTACGTCCATTTTTTTAAAAACTAGAAAAGAATTGTCTTCTTTTTAACTCAACAACAGATGTTTGTTCTCATCCAGGGGGGGTTTTGACTGATCCACAGGGAAAATACTGACCAACTTTTTTTTTAATAACTAGTAGAGAAGCAATTTATTCTTTATTTAAGATTACATGTTGAACCATGAAAAAAAGACACAATGTTTTTCACTTGCCAAGGAGATTTTGCAATGTCAAAATGTATTTCAAGTGTCTTGTGATGAGCTTCATTCTTGGTCCTGTGTGTCTGGTCTGTAAAAAAGAAGAACAATGAGGGGTGTTTCTGAATGTTTTCACATTGGCTCAAGTCGAAAGGGATGGTTGCTGTACACCTCACAGTGGAGAGCATGATTTTTAAAAAGTGCTTGTGGCTTGCATGTTTCACCATTACAGAAGAGAGTTCTTGTTTAAATTTGTGAGGCCTGGTAGATACTGTGTATATCTGTTGAGATGTTTACTTGAAGAAAATCAAATGTCAGTGTTTCTTTCTCTCTCTTTCTCTTCCTGGTTGTTCATTCTGTAGCCCTCCACGCACACACACACACACACACTTTTTTAGCTACACACATGTGTAATGCTATTAAATCTTTCTTTAATTTTAGCTGCTGATGGCCCAGGTGACCGCTTCATCATTGGAGAGTCCCAAGCTGGAGAACAGGTCCGCGCCAACAATTAACACTTAGACACACATGCTTTCTCTGGCTCACAAAAAAAGACACACACGCACAACCTCTATATGAAAATAAAGTACTTCACTTTTGTCCTTCAACTCATGCCACTGTGTTCCTTCAGCAGGTGATGAAAAGCCATTCGCCCCAAAGCAGGGCTAGAAAGTCAAAGTGCTGCCAAGCAATAAAACAGATTAGACCTTTGAGACAAGAGTAGGCTGCAGAGATTTATTGACTACCTCGACCTCTCATCTTGAACAAAGCCAGCAGGCATGCAAACACATACTTTATACATGCCTTCATATCCTTCACTAGGTCAACACATTTTTTTTACATGTAGTTTTATTTTGTTTTAACTTCAATTTGACCACTGTTTTGGCTCAAAACAGTTTGTGAGATGTGTTTTGGGAAACTTCAGTAGAATACAATCTATCATTTCACTTTACTCTATTTTACTTTAGGTGAAATGAGCCACCCTAAAAATGTTTTGTGTCATGGCTTATCCTTCTTTGTAATTTAATTGTAACTGTAGTCTTAATTTGTGTCTCTGTGCAGCCCACCCACACAGTGATGCCCGGCCAGGTGATGAGGGTGACGACGGGTGCCCCTATCCCATGCGGGGCCGACGCTGTAGTCCAGGTGGAAGACACTGAGCTGCTCCGCGAGTCTGAAGACGTAAGTCCAACTTTCAGTCTTTTACCCAACGAACAAGAGGCAAGATGTCAGAATCAGGGTTGTGGTCATCACAACCCAACCAGAATTTAACCCATGTAGGGGATCAGTAACTTTTGACTCACATTTACCTTATTACAGTTACTAGAGGTCTATATCAACACCATAGCAAATGAAAATGGATTCTGGTTGATTTAAATTTCACTGAGAGTAAGTTTAGCCCTGAGATGAACAGAACACACAATGTTTTGGTCTAGTATAGTCCAAGTAAAACTGTTTCTGTTCACTTTGATGGACCTGACAGCTGGTTTGTCTTTCAGGGCACAGAGGAGCTGGAGGTACGAATCCTAGTACAGGCTCGTCCAGGGCAGGACATCAGGTTAGTGTCGTATTGAATCACCATTTTATTTATCAAATACTGTAAATTACAGTGTCACTCACCCGCCCGCCTTTTTGGTCGTCTTTTGTATACATCTCATGGTTAGCAGTATCAAACTAATTACTGAAAGTTGATTTTTGGTTATATTTGTTTTTTTATTTACCTCTATGTTAGTAACAAAAACCAATACTTATAATACACTTAAGGTCTCTACCAGAATGTTTATTTCTGCTTCATTTTGGGTGTTACAGAACATTACTATTATAGCATAGCAACTTAGATTACACAGTATACAGTAGGGAATTTACAGATTTTAATTGCGCAGTGCATTTGTCAACATTCTTCCCTTTCTCTTCTTGTTTTCCTCCAAACCATTATCTCTGCTGTCCTACCATAGGCCTATCGGTCATGACATTAAGCGCGGGGAGTGTGTACTTGCAAAGGGCACCCACATGGGCCCGTCTGAGATTGGTCTTCTGGCTACTGTGGGAGTCACAGAGGTGGAGGTCCAGAAATTCCCTGTGGTGGCCGTCATGTCCACAGGAAATGAGGTAAAGGGTTATGAATAACTTGTTTTCATCAAGAAGTGTTATTTTGCCCTTTTATACCAAATTATACCCCACAGTGTCACATAAGGGCGCACCAGTGTGTCTGTATTTCCCAAAAAGGTTTGGCTTGACCTCCTGAAGGTAACAATAACGTGCCATCTTTTTTGACAGTGTACCTCGATCATATTTATGCACAATCAACATTGTTTGCTTTGACTGCGGATGCGAGTGTGCACTCAGCCGCTCCATGTGTACTTTCAGTTGTGAAGAATGCGTTTATCTGTGACCAGGTGGTTTCTTTTAAACGCTGGGATCATTTTTGTGCATTTTCTGTGTGACTGATTTGCAGTTTAGATTTTATGGGGTGCGTAACCTTCATGGAGATCCTCAGCAGACTCTAGATACCCATAACAACTTGTTCTCAGCGCTGTGCAGATATGTGTAAATTGTGTAAATCAGCTGTGAGTCACCTACTACATGGCCACATTCCAAATCTATGAAGTGATATTGTCCTCATCTCCCCTCCTTTGGGCAAGTCTGATGAAATAGAGGATTAGAGATGCTTCCTTTGCACTCCATACCTGCGGCAATGTTAATTTGACCATCTCCATTTTGGGTACATTCTCTTTTTAAAATTTAAAAACTGTATCTGTGCAGAGTTGGTGTTTACAAATGAATGTATACAGTATGTCTGCCCCCAAACTCAGTATAAACCAGCTAAATTAGATGTGTGTTCATGTGTGGAGCCTTCCTTTAATAATTACAGTAATTAGCAGTGCTTGTTGACGTTTAATCTATCATCTAAGAAACAGAAAGTTCAGATTTGTAGTTCTGTTATGAAAAGTAATAAGGTCAGGATGTGTGAATACCGATACAAGACACACATTGTGCTGTGGGATGATTTGCATTAATTCAAAAATATAACTAAGTAGGGCTGCAACTACTAACTGATTATTTTCATAGTTTATAATCTTTTGGGAATTCCTCCAATTAATCGATTGAAATTTCCCCAGATAGTGAAAATGTGCATGACAAGGTCCAGGAGCACAAGTTGATATTTCCAAATTGCTTTTTGTCTAACAACCAATTAATAAATTCACAATACATTTTCTTTTTTCTTACTTTGCTCTGTCACAGTAAAATACTATTTAATATGTCATTTAAACCAGAAGAAGAATATTTTATGAGTGATGTTTAAGCCAGATCTGGTTTTGACTCATACCAGCTAAAAAGGATGGCTATTGAATGTAGGAAGAGTGTTTCTATAGTTTCATTGTCTCCCCATGTGTTGTGGTAGCTGCTGAACCCAGAAGACGACCTCCATCCTGGGAAGATCAGGGACAGCAATCGTTCCACCCTGCTGGCTACTATCCAGGAGCACGGCTACCCCACCATCAATCTGGGCATCGTGGGAGACAAGTACGCCTTCACGTTCATTCTCTGAACATTTCCACACTTGTTATACTTCCAATGTAATGTTCATCATCTTACTATAATACCTCCAAACTCTGTGCCCAACAGCCCCGATGACCTTCTCAACGCTCTGAATGAAGGCATCAGCCGTGCTGATGTCATCATCACCTCAGGAGGAGTGTCTATGGGCGAGAAGGTATGATGGCAAAACAAAAAGTGCACCCATCCAATCATGACATTGTGTGTTCACTGGCACCTTGTGGTAGAGGGCGGGATGACAGCAGATGCTTTTTATGGGGGGTTTGAGTTAGCTTTTTTTATTAATCTTGGATGATTCTGTTCATCTCCAGTATCCACACATACATTTTCAAACATTATTATTCGGGGGAGGTATGGTTCTCCATAGTAATTTTGAGTTTTTTTAAATGCATTTCACTGTTATGTTTGATAAATGTTGGTTTGTAATTTCAATGTATTTTTTAGGACTACCTTAAGCAGGTGCTGGATATTGATCTTCATGCTCAGATCCATTTTGGTCGTGTTTTTATGAAACCAGGGTGAGAAAACTTTATTCTCAACACACAACACAGTTATCAAGTGCTTAACAGAAAATGTAAATACCATGGGTTAGAGTTAACAAGATAATAAGTTTAAATATCAGATGTACATCTAAAGCAGTGTTCCACAAAACAGGCAAATATAGTCTACTAAATTACAACGGTACAATGACACTGAGGAATTAGTACAGAATTTATAATAATGGTTGAAATCAAAATCAACACATGTTGGGGTTTTTTTCTTTTCAGTCTCCCGACAACATTTGCCACCTTGGACATGGACGGTGCTCGCAAACTAATCTTTGCCCTCCCAGGTAGTGTGTGAAGTTGAGAGAAAGAGTGATTCAATCCACTGTTTCTGAAGAGATGTTACTCATATATTTTTCTCTGTCCTTTCTCTCTATGCTCTCCTCTCTCGGTCTCGGCCTGCCCTAGGAAACCCCGTGTCCGCTGTTGTCACCTGTAATCTTTTTGTCATCCCTGCCTTGAGGAAGATGCAGGGCATTTTGGACCCTAGGCCCACCATCATTAAAGCAAGGGTAGGATGCACAGGGCAACCAGGGTAGCCTGACTTTCTGGCCAAGACACACAAAGTCAAAGTTCATCATGTGACTGGTGGTCACCAAAGTATTTTTTTCTTCTGTTTAATGGTAACAAACAGGTGTTAGCTTTCAGGTTGAACAAAAAGTGGCAGTCGTATCACACTTAATTTAGAGAACGGTGTGATTTTGATTTTTATCAAGGTTGTTTTGTGTCTGCCTCAAACAAGTAAAAAAAAGAAATACAAATCCTTAGAAATACAAGTCCTTATTTCCAAAAAGATCCTCTCTCTTCCAATATGTGAACATCTGAGTGTAGATGCAACAAACTCCAGCAGAGAGAAAATATGTATCATTCCAGTACATTGCATCTTAACTCACAATTTAATACTATTTTCATCATCCACACAATACATATTTATGACCACCATGTTTTGCTTTAACCTGGCAGAGGAACCAATCACTGCCCACACTGACCTGAAGGCTCCCTGGTCATGAATATTCATAACTGTAAAGCAAGAAAAATCATAATAATATCAAACACTGAACAGCCGCAGCTTGTGTCCCCAACTAGCATCATCATGTAAGAGGTCTGGTCCCCTGCCATCATGGGTGCTATCCAGAGAGCTATGCTACATACAGGTGCTGGTCATATAATTAGAATATCATCAAAAAGTTGATTTATTTCAGTAATTCCATTCAAAAAGTGAAACTTGTATAATGTATACATTCATTCCACACAGACTGATATATTGTGTATATACTGTATAAATTGTTTATTCCTTTTAATTTTGATGATTATAACTGAGAACTAATGAAAACCCCCAAATCAGTATCTCAGAAAATTTGAATATTGTGAAAAGGTTCAATATTGAAGACACCTGGTGCCGCACTCTAATCAGCTAATTAACTCAAAACACCTGCAAAGGCCTTTAAATGGTCTCTCAGTCTAGTTTTGTAGGCTACACAATCATGGGGAAGACTGCTGACTTGACAGCTGTCCAAAAGACAACCATTGACACCTTGCACAAGGAGGGCAAGACACAAAAGGTCATTGCTAAAGAGGCTGGCTGTTCACAGAGCTCTGTGTCCAAGCACATTAATAGAGAGGCGAAGGGAAGGAAAAGATGTGGTGGAAAAAAGTGTACAAGCAATAGGGATAACCGCACCCTGGAGAGGATTGTGAAACAAAACCCATTAAAAATGTGGGGGAGATTCACAAAGAGTGGACTGCAGCTGGAGTCAGTGCTTCAAGAACCACCACGCACAGACGTATGCAAGACATGGGTTTCAGCTGTCGCATTCCTTGTGTCAAGCCACTCTTCAACAAGACACAGCGTCTCGCCTGGGCTAAAGACAAAAAGGACTGGACTGCTGCTGAGTGGTCCAAAGTTATGTTCTCTGATGAAAGTAAATTTTGCATTTCCTTTGGAAATCAAGGTCCCAGAGTCTGGAGGAAGAGAGGAGAGGCACAGAATCCACGTTGCTTGAAGTCCAGTGTAAAGTTTCCACAGTCAGGGATGGTTTGGGGTGCCATGTCATCTGCTGGTGTTGGTCCACTGTGTTTTCTGAGGTCCAAGGTCAACGCAGCCGTCTACCAGGAAGTTTTAGAGCACTTCATGCTTCCTGCTGCTGACCAACTTTATGAGGATGCAGATTTCATTTTCCAACAGGACTTGGCATCTGCACACAGTGCCAAAGCTACCAGTACCTGGTTTAAGGACCATGGTATCCCTGTTCTTAATTGGCCAGCAAACTTGCCTGACCTTAACCCTATAGAAAATCTATGGGGTATTGTGAAGAGGAAGATGCGATACGCCAGACCCAACAATGCAGAAGAGCTGAAGGCCACTATCAGAGCAACCTGGGCTCTCATAACACCTGAGCAGTGCCACAGACTGATCGACTCCATGCCACGCCGCATTGCTACAGTAATTCAGGCAAAAGGAGCCCCAGCTAAGTACTAAGTGCTGTACATGCTCATACTTTTCATTTTCATACTTTTCAGTTGGCCAACATTTCTAAAAATCCTTTTTTTGAATTGGTCTTAAGTAATATTCAAATTTTCGGAGATACTGCATTTGGGATTTTCATTAGTTGTCAGTTTTAATCATCACAATTAAATGAAATTAACACTTGAAATATATCAGTCTGTGTGTAATGAATGAATATAATATCCAAGGTTCACTTTTTGAATGGAATTATTGAAATAAATCAACTTTTTGATGATATTCTAATTATATGACCAGCACCTGTAATTTGCTGTTAAAAAGCAGTTAGAAATCAACTTGAATGCATTACTGCCACTTAGTGGTGGAACTGATGGACTGAAAAGCACAGATGTAGTCAGATAATTTCCCTCAGCAGATGGCATCAGACCCAGGTCAAATATTATTCTGGAAAAACCTTTACCTTTGCCAATAAAGTTGGAAGAGTTTCCACTCCTTTCTGTTTGCATTGTAGAAAATAAATAACGTTTTAAGTTGTACATATGTATTTGGGAGAACTTGGGTGGGTAGATAGCTTTTTACCAAAGTTAATTATATTTTAGTGATGGTCAAGATCTGGGATTTTTGCCATTAGAAGATTTTTTTAGAGATAACGAATGTGCTGCATTTATGTGCTCGAAGGGAATTCTGATATTAAGGACTTCTTTGAGGATACTTCTTTGATGTCCAAAGCTTGGTAGGGATTTTTGGCACAACTTCACCTACTTCCAAGGTGCATGAAGAAGCAAAAACTGAAGAGGCCAAAACTCTAGAAAAACTAGTAGTATAAAGAACAACTTTATTGTTAGACGGCTTGTGGCCTACATCAGGGTCATGAGTCCAAAGTTTTAGCGGTCTGCAAGTTTGTGACAGTCTGCCTGCACTGGGCCAAGAAACCTATTGTTAGAAGCCTTTTAGGGTGCCAGAATAGTGGGGTTTGCAACATCAGACAAAAATGTAAGTGCCAGGATTCTAGGAACTTGAATCTTAAAAACCAATTTAATATATGTTTCTACACTGTACAAGCCATCTTGTATTGTAAGTGTGAAGCTATCATGTTGACATACAGTATATCATTTTAATTTACACTGTATGTTTTTTCTCTAGTTGTCTTGCGATGTGAAGTTGGATCCTCGCCCTGAATACCACCGCTGCATTCTGACATGGCATCACCAGGAGCCTCTGCCGTGGGCACAGAGCACAGGTACCAAAATCAAAGTCAAACAATGCTATGCAGGATTCTGTATGACAGCCACTGTCATATCTCAGTAAGGCTCTAACTGTTCACTGTTTGATTGCAGAATTTGTTAATTTATTGCTCCCTGTCAAGCGAGGAATCCAAGGTTAAAAAATAGAATAATTTTGAGAGGTACAGTTTTTCACATCAAGCCCATAAAATCCTCTAAATTAACACATTCACTGAACTGCAGCTACTTTATGTAAACATTTGCCTCACTTGTTTTTTCCCCTTTGCATTTTGGAGCATTTTAAAGTTAATATTAGCCTGAAGAAAACATTTTCCAGGCACAGAACATGTTAAAAGCATTAATTTAGGGCATATTAAAACGCACACCAGTTTCAACCTCAGACGGTCTTCATCAGGGCGGAAATAATAAAGTAGATTGATTATACCTTAGATTCCCTGCATTTACTATGTCTGACACTTGGCCTCTGTAGTCTTTTAATATTAGCCAGTTTGACTATGAAAGATAAGATAACCAATAGGTCAAACTGCAACATTTAATACAATTTGTGACCATTTTAATCATGTTAAGTTTGATTATCATTGGATGAAACACAAAAACAAGAAACTCCCCATCCTCTCTGTTGCAGGGAACCAGGTGAGCAGCAGGCTGATGAGCATGCGCAGTGCTAATGGGCTCCTGATGCTACCTCCGAAAACAGAGCAATACGTGGAGCTGCACAAGGGCGAGGTGGTTGACGTCATGGTCATCGGCCGGCTATGATGTCATCACCGCGGGGACGGAGCGTCGGCGTCATATGGCGACGGTTGGAATGGGTGGTTCACGGTGCATGTCCACATATCATTGACTATTCTGTAATATGCAACGGCACAGCTAGTTTTATTGATTTGGATAACGTTGAGGTATAGTCAACATCTTGATCACAACCTAGATACATATGAAAAAATTAATTTAAAAAGATTATAGTATTTCAAACAAAGAAAATATAACTTTTAATGAAAAAATCTAATTATAAAAAGAGATTTATTCTGTAATATATTATTATGATTATTCTTATTATTATTATCATTATTCTTCTTATTATCATTATTATATTAAGGCAACTTCGTTCCTTTCATTGCAATTGCTTTGTGTGTTCAATGCTAGACCTTATCTATAGCAGTAGCATTTTAATAGACAGCTGTAGGTGCCTGCCAGGACAAAAAAAGAACATTATTATTTTCTCATCTTTAGTGAAAAAAAAAAGAATCTGTTTTTTGAAAATGAAGAAAACATTGAGGAAGACTCCAGATTTCCCATGGTGCTCAGCTAAGAGGAAGAGGGGGCACATCAAGACCACTTCCTCTTTTGAGCGCCCATCAAGGTGACAGTTATGTTTTTCTCTCATTAGTATGCATCATAATGGCTTCACAAAGAGCTTTGCTTGTTGTTTATCTTGTGAGTCTTGTTTATGTGCGCAGTGCCAAATGCCTGGGCAGGGAAGAGGTGATGTTGGTATGGGGAGGTGGGGGGAACACACCCCAGTCTGCCCAGACCCTGAAGCTTCCTTATATTCACGGTGACCGGGTGTAAACTCTGCCCCAAACTCCCCCAGGGGTGAGCTGAACCTGGGGAAAATAATCTTTTATTTGATCAACTATTTAAGAAGAAAAAAAATAAAGAAAAGAAACAGCTTCTTTAAGTGCTGACAGCCTTTTTAACCAACTTCACAAAAAATGTACAGAAAAAATAAGAACCATATTGTACAGATATATGTGACCAGCACTCCTAAGGAAATTATTAAGCAATGAGGAGACATTGAACAACGCTGTACTATAACATTTTCTGTAATGATATGAAACGGATGAAAGAGACAAAGATAATAAAAATCCTTGATCATTATGTAAAAAAAAAAATCTTGTTGGGTTTCCTTTTTTAATAAAAAATATCTAAAGAAAATTAGTGATTTTCTTCTTTGGTATTAAAAGTTTGGCAGGTGGTAGGGGGTATATGAATTTTGAATGGATGAGAGATGATCTTCCTTACCAACTATTGCCAAAGTCCATGAGGAAAGCACCCCAGTGGATACATTTCCCAAATTTTAATGTGTTTAACTGCACTAATATAAAGGAAAGTAACTCATGTACTGTATTATATACAGTTTTGAAATACTTGTACTTTATGCTGCTTTATACTTCTCTATATTTCAATTTCACTTTTTACTCCACTACATTTATGTCACCGCTATAGCTACCAGTTACTCTTCAGATAAGGTTTTATATCAAAAGAATATAATCATCTTATAAAATACATATTTTTAAAGATCAGACCAGTGATTCCCAACATTTTTGGCTTGTGACCAAATTGCACCAAATGCGGCATTGCACTCCCTTGGATCTGCAGCAACACACCCGCCCCATGTGAGGTTGATTGAGGGAATGATTCTCGACATAATCGAAATACAAACAAACACGCACACACACAGAAATTCTTGCCTTTATTAGAGAGTTGTTCGAGAACCAAATAGATCAAATCAATCAAAGTTTACAAAAAAAGCTAAAGAATACAAATACAAAAGAAAGAAATGAATACAAATGTGTATAGGAGAACTTTAGTTTTTTTCTTCTTTCCTCTCCCATTAATCATCTAAAGACCCCTCAGATTTATCTTGTGACCGTTTGGAGAGGACCTGACCCTTAGGTTGAGAACCACTGGACTAAACTACCAAATAGTAACATACTTAAAACTAGCCTAATCTCAACCAGCAACAACAGTAAAATGTTACTTACACATTCATGCATCAATATAAACACTCTAACTATAGTATGTAACTATATATCAGTCACAGGAGGCATTTTTCTGCAGAACGAGTACTTTAACTTTTGATATTTAAAGTATGTTTCCACCACTGCTACTTAGGTAAACAAAGAAAAAATAGCTGCATTGGAATGAATCACTGCAAAGAAAATGGGGTTTTAACTGTCTCTCTTTCCAGGAAGGTAAGTATTTAAGAATCAGGAACTGGCAGGAGAGAGCCTAATGAGGAAAAGAGGTTAAGCACAGAGGTGTCAGAAAGGATTAACTTAATAGAAAATACAGCAGGAAAAAGGCTGCTTCAGGCTTTGGTGTAGATATTTCTGAGGCTGCATGAGATTAGACAGTTTCTGTTCTGCTCTGCAAGGTGAAATGACAGTAGATCCCATTAGTTGGTGATGATTAATAGTGCTGTGACAAGAACTTCTTAAATTCATCTATGTGAATGTGTATAAAATGTGTGGAATGTAAAAGGGGATCAGTATGAAAATGACTGTAGAAAATAATGGAAAATTCTTCACACCCTCAAGTGCAACAAGTGTATGTTTATTTATTAGAGGATACACTGACAGGGTAACAAGAGATTTACCATGCACTTTATCTCTGAGTTGCTCCATGAGTTTCTAATCTTCCAAGAGCCTTCAACTGGTTGAGGCCATAGGGATAAAAAAAAAGTATATGGCCGATCATTTAGGGTCTGCTTACACAAGGTCTAATTAAAGGTCAAGTCTGTCGTTTTTTGGAGATACAATATAAATTACAGGTCCTGTGTATTCTCTAATTGAAGGGTTTGACTGCAGATGAAAAATCTGCATAATTTAAATCCAATATGGTATATATAACAATAAAAGTCTCAGAATTGGACACTCTGCATTATAAGTATTTTTACTTTGTTTTTAATAATAAATTAACAAGTAAATATATGCCAAAAAAAAAATCTGGGCTCAGGTTTCAGTCCATAGCATAATTCATTGATTGAATCCACATGGCATTTGAATACTTACTATACGTCCCCCAAAGCATTATGGGCACTATAGTTCCAAACTTTAGAACATCATGTGAAAGCATGAGTGAAAGCATAAAAATAGGAGTGACAAAATCCATTAATATGAACTTTATTTGTCTTGCAATATTTTTTTATATTTTATATATTTTTGTGCAACAAATTAGTGTATGTTTAACCCCTAACCTCTAACATGGACTTCCTGTGCTCTTCTCCTTCAGTCTCCTTACAATTCACTATTTTGTTAACTCTTACTTTTTTCCATAGGTATTTACCCCATTGATGCCATACGTGCAATACTCTCTTATTAGTATTTATTGCTCGCTTATTAGTATGTATTGTCACTTGTAGATCTCTTATCATATTGATACTTTATTGATGTATGTTGTTCTACAACTGCTTTTGAAAAAAGCAAACTAGTAAATGTAATGTAAATATACTGTAATGTAAATATAATGTATGTCTGTGAGAGTGTGTTTGGGCCCACGTAGCTACTGCACAGAGGGACTGCACTTTTGTAACTGGTTGTCTTTTCGTTAAAGTAATAAAAATCTGCTGTCAAGTGTACTTTTAAATTTAAAAGTGACATTCAGAGATTGTTGTTGTATTACATACCGTATATTGACATCTTTGCTGTAAAATGTGGTCATTACGTGTCTGGGAGAGAGGGGGCGCTGTGGAGCTGCAGTGTTGCCAGGGAGACGACTCAAAACACCAGGTTCACAGTAATGGCCACAAGTGTCCCAACAGTGCCTGGACAAAACTCAGTGCTGTGGCTGAACACGGTTCGGCAAAGACCTGGAGAGACCATTTTCTGTTCCCGACCTTCCGTGTGTGAAAACAGACACATTTTCGGAGCACTGGATTTTACAGGAATAACTGCTTCTGAACCAAAACCCATTTGAACTTGCTATCTTTGAAGCGGTGAGTGCACTCGGTCTATTGCGGGACGTTACCGTTAAGCTACGCAGTTAAGTTAGCGGTACCACCAGGCTGCTAAGCTAACGTTAGTTAAGTTCCCTGCCATTGTTACGTTAATGCAAGTTCATTTGTACACAGTAAAATGAATATCAAATGTGTGTATTAAGTGTGCTGTTGCCGCTGTGTATGGTTGTGCTAAGACGATTGCCTTTTTTGTAAAATTGTTCAAAATAGATCATTAACGTACTTCTACACAATAGGAAGGACTCAGTTGTTCTCGTGACTCATTGAAATGCATCTAACCTTAGCTTAATGTTAACTTCAGCCAGCGGCAAATAGTTTTTAAACCACAGAACTATTACTATGACTAATGTATGAGAATATTTTCCATTTTCACCCTCTGGATGTAATGCATGTAACAGTTAGCTAATTATAGCAAGAAGCCAGAGATCTAGTGGTAGAGGGTAATTTAACCTCACTGAAGTTTAGCCATCACTGTGACTTTCAGCGACTAACGTTAATGTTAATTAAACGTTATATGGTAACAAATACAAAATGGCAGAGTAACGTTATCTTAACAAATTACAACTACTATTCGAGATATAACTGTTCTGGATGAATTCTAAAATCAATAACTCGATTTTTGATCTATTTATTTTTGGTACAAATTACGGATTATCCCACTGTTATGCTGTTAATAGTGTGCTGCATGTTTAGTTGGGATTAGATTTGGGAGGAAATCCCTTGTTAGGACATATTTGAGAAACTTTGATACCACCTTAAGGGTCATCACCAATTATTAGTTGGATTGGTTTGTTCTTCGGTGAGTAAATACCACTGGAGTTGTTTTCAACATACATGACATTAAACAGAACTTTTTTTGCATAATAATCAAATAATAGCACTGCTATCAAAGGAGGATGTTCTAGCACTATTTTCACTCATAAATTCTGGAGTAACTGTACATCAGATTGAGTAGAGCAATAGATGATGTACAGTACGTTTTAGGAGTGCAGGGTAGTACTGTGTTTTCTACTAAGATCCTTTTCATTTGTTGAAGTTTTAAGTCTTCCTGGGGTATCTCATGCCAAACCCTCTTCAGTCAGTTAGTATTTTGTATTATTGGCCTTCCAGCATCACATTGCCCTGTTCAGTAAGTGGGCTTGCTAATATGAGCTTGATTGCCAATGTCTAATTTGACATCACATGACATGATCAGCTCTTATTTAATTTCACAGAAATGTTCCACCATCTCTGTAATCTTGCATTGTCCCTAAACTTGTTCCACAAATTTAACTGACACCAAACTGTTGAATTGCTTCATTTTTTTATGTCTAGGGGTGTGTGCGTGTGTGTGCACTTCCCATTCATTCCCTCTGGTCCCTCTGTCCCTATCCAGCATCCCTCCCAGTACTGTTGTGGCCACTGAGCAAGAGTAGGCATGAGATCCCAGGCTTAATTAAGCCCACAGGAACAGATGGCCCGCTGGCAGTCTCTGCTATTTATCAGCCGTACACTGCCACTGTAAACGTAGCTAAATGCTTCTGCAGGGGCGGAGTTTGGGAGCTTGGCGCAAGAGCTGGAGGGGGCAGGGGGTAGACCTGCCAGACGTAATTAGCTGTGGGAAGTAGGCAGAAGAGGGGAGGGCTGCCATGAGGTAGTAGCTGACATGTGTGTATGACTGACGTGGCTTTCTGTAAAAAAATAAAATAAAAATAAAAATTCCATGTTTATCCTTTTTGGTACTTGAGAGGTTTCCTCAATGCACACAAAGCTGTCTTTGACTGTAAGTAAGTAATAAGGGCCGTTTAACATGTGAGTAGCAGGTTGGAAGAAAGACAGCCCTACCTAAGCCACTGCATGGTATTTAAGCACAAGCTTATGTCATTATGTGAATGATGAAGACATACCTTTGGCTTTCTAGTTATATATCATCCTTTTATTACAGTCACTCTATGACTGTTTTTGGACAATGATTTTCTGTTATAAAATATAGATTGAGTTTATTTTACAAGAGTGAAAATCCTCTAGTCATACTACCAAATTTACTAATCCAGATTAATGCACATTGCATCCTTAAAATAGATTCTAAGCCACATCAGTCACAACAATGGCAGATCAGGTGGTAGTAGCTGTGTGGCAGGCATCGCATTTAATTGCAATATCTTTATATAGGCACGCGTACATTGGCTACAGATGGACATTTTAACTAAGCTGTTCATGAGGACGGGACTGTTGGGGACAGGTGTACCCAAGCAAGTGGCTGGATGAACTGAACTGAAGGGATTTCAGGTGACTGAGGCCAGACGGCTTTCCATGTGAAGAGTTAGATTAGTGGTGTCATCGATGAGAGGAGGTAGGAGCAAATGTTGGCCCTGATTAACAGGCAGCCAGCCGGAAGGAAGGAACAACATTTATATGTTAAATACATTTAAAATCTATTAAGAAATAGCTGGAAAAGTTACTGTCACCACTGTTGAACTCCTCAATTAAACTGAGTTAGTGAGAAACAAGTGCAAACAAGTTACCTTTGCTGAAATTATTATAAGACTTTATTGATCAACTGGAGGGAAATTCATATTACAGGTTTCACATTGTAGCAGCACAAGTTGTGTCATGGTGTCATATTGTGGTAAATTGACATCGGCATGATAGTCTCGAGCTTTGATGATGATGATAATTTACGCTTATTTTATATTTACTAGATACAAACAACAAATAAAGTACATATTTTAGAAAATAAAATAACACCAGTTTGACCCATCACCTCCTCTAAAGTATAATAAAAAAGGGAATGTGTAGGCAGGGCTCTAGAGTTCTCCAGTATCTTTACTATTGTTGCTTGAGCTACCAGTCACAGTAGTGGCCAAACTGGTGCATATCTTATCTGACAATGAAACCCTTCAATTTCTGTTTATTGTTTCCTAAGAATGCAATAAAAGTGATAGTCAATAAAGGAAATCCTTTTTTAACCTTTTCTAAAAAATTGTTATAATAATTTTTCAGTTACCCATTTTAAAAATGAAAAAAAATAATACTTGACTTTGTTTACCATTAAAAAATAAAAATTGCATAAAAACAACAAGGGAAATCCATTTTAACACTCTGTTTGTACTTCAGGATGACATGATCACAGAAAGAACATAGAGGACTACATCCTCCAATGGCGTGGTATGGCCTCTGATTTGAGCTGTCTCGGAGCCTCGCAACACTCGAGCAGATCTCAGTAAACGCTGGGGTGGTTTGAGCTGTACACTGCTGCAGCAGGGATGATCACGTCCCATATGAACGGCTATGTGCAAGAGGCCTCTGGTCTCAAGGAGAGGGCAGTGGACTGTCCAGGGGAGGAAAGCAGCCTTGTCAAGTCTCCACACTGCAGTGCCCACATGGAGAGGATCCAGCACTACCAGGAGGAGCTGAGGAAGAGGAGAGAGGAGGACAGCAGGGGGAAGCATGAGATCGATCCCAACGCTTCACTGAGGCTCAAGAAGCTGGCACAGAACCCCAAGGTGGGCATTGACAATCCCACCTTCGAGGAGAAAGAAAAGGCCACCAAGGACTCATGCTCTCAGGATCCTGTCACTGGTAAGTTGAGAGGAGGAGGGCAGTAAGGGTTAGAAGGTCTTTATGGGGGTCAGCTAGAGTGGAAAGAGGAAAAGCTTTACAAAGGAGAGTTTAGACCTCAGAGTAGAATAGGGAGATGTGAGGTTTTACAAAAATTCAGTGAAAACAAAAGGAGTCAAAACAATGAGTATTAAGGGGGGCAGAGCAGAGGGTGGTAGCGGAGGAGGGTGATGTGTTTTAGGGGCTGACCACCATTTATTCTGGTTAGTGTCTTGGTCCTAACTCTGGACTGAAGAGAGATAGCCCATCAGTTGCCAAAGGAAAATACAATAATTTCTGATTAATTATATTGATTATACAAAAGAGTATTGAATGTACAGTAAATACAGTGGTCCACCATTCTGGTTAGTGCACAAAATATTGTGTGGCTAACTTTTCAATTTGTATAAATAAATGTATTGTGTACACACATTTAAAAAGTTTTAGAGGATGGGCTCATTATTATATTTCTTAAGTTTCAAACAGATTTCAGTGACTCAGCACAACTAGTTGAATTTACTTTACTGCAGCGTGTCCAGTGTGAATAGGAGTCAGATTTGATTGTCATGCAGAACGTTGTGACATGTTTGATAGTCTTTATACAGAACTCAGTCCTCATTATTACAAAGACACTGATGTGTAATAAACTCACGTTTGCAGTTGGTCTGAATGTGCCTGCGAGTGCGCACCTTATCTGACTTGACTTTGTGACCCTGCTTTCAGCCTTAGTGGAATGTAGGTCTGACAGTGCTCGGCTTTGGTGTAAAAGAAAAGAGGTGAACATGCGTTTCTGTAAGATTAATCTACAGTTTATACTATGATTATACAATAGGATTACTACAATAGTTATTCTGTTTGTTCAACCTGGGCCTCTCAACTGTGAAATATGCTCCTCTAAATCATATACAATGAACATTACTATAGAGTGTAAGTTGTTGCAGAAAGTAAATCCTATAAAATGTATCCATACTGTCTGCTTTAATAAATCTCCAGTGTAATCACTGCAGCAACCATTAAATAAAGTTAAAGTCTCACTTGAATAGAAATGAAGACTCACAGGTGGCTCGGGAGACTTCCACTGCAGAGACACAAAAAAGACAATGCTGTAAATGTTCTGCCGCAGCTCTTAAAGAATACATAGTTTTTGTTCAAGTTCTACTGCCCTATATAACTTGTGAGACATACAGTAGTCTATAGATACTTTAATTGCTCTGAAAGTTGACAACTCTGTTTACCAGATGCACAGTGTCTATATGGTGTCTGTGGCTTAGCAGCAGGGTTGGCACCTCTGCACCACAGAAAGCAATGGGGTCAAATGGGGGTGACTCTTTTGCCTAAGTCTAGTCTCCCTAGACTTAACATGTTTGCGAATCCAAGTCATCAAAAATAATTTATTAACCTCCTAATTATGGATATCCACATACTATATAAAGAGACTTTATATACACGGTTATACTAATAACAGACAACTTCCACCCTTATTTGCAAAAGCACACCCATAACTCATAGCATTTTGAATATTCCCGGATTAGGAGATGTTCTGCAAATTCAACTTGTGGAGAGAAATATTTGTAATATATGGTTTCAGATTAGCTCACCCATGTTGTGGTTAAACCTCTGTTTAGCAATGATGTGTATGCAGCTATAGTTGTAGGCCCAGGTCTTGTATAACATGAAATGAGCCTTAGACAACAGTCTGTATCAATGGGTCAAATGCAGGTTCAAAGCTACTGATCAGAAAAGTAAACCCATAGGACAAAAAATAAGCAAACATTCACATCTTAAAGCAGTAAAACTTTTTCTGACTTCTATCATTTAGCTCCTGTGTCGCTCTGTATCGCCTCTGTGCTGTTCCCGTCACTGCCTCTGCCTCTTTCTCAGAACTGGAGGAATTGCTGCAGGCTCTGAAGGTCGCGCAGCACTGCCTGACTGATGCGCAGAGCCAGCAGGATGTGGAGCTGATAGTGCAGCTCCTTGCCAAGGAGGACTTCAGGAATGCCTACACCCTCTACAGTGCTGTGTCCCAGCAGAGGAGCAGAGTCAGTCCCACCTCACCCATCACAGCACAAGCAGAGGATCTTTGCCAGGAGGTACACATAATGGTTAATTTGAAGCAACAAACATTGTTTGGAAGCACTCTGACTCTGCTGCGGTGTTAAAAGTTATGGGAAAGTGATTGTAATTTACATTGAGCTCAGTGGTAACCTTGCTATTAGTATTGCATAGGTACTTGTATATGTAGTTTATGCTGGATGTTTTGTAAGTGTAGGTGGTTTTAGTGTCCACAGCTGTAGGGGGAACTGAATCAGAAAAAATAGACTGACTTGTACTCAGAATAATGAATAACACACATTCATTCTTAGACATTTTTAACCATGCCACAAAACCAATTCTCTACCTCATGAGAGGAGGCAGTGTGTGCATACAGGCATAAAGGCACTTAGATTGCATTTGCCTATCTGTGGTTTGGACCTTGTTAAGCTTTTATTTAGAGGAAAGTACCTCTGTGAGTAAAGTATCTGAACATACTCAATGAAGCATGCAAAATCATTGCTCAGGGTGATGATTAATTCAACAAAGCTGCCCAAAAAGGTAGCCACATCAGTCTGAATAGTTATGAAATGTAAATCGTCTTGTGGTTAACAAGGTGGGTGAAAACAAAAATGAGGAATTTGTTGGAACCAGGCCATGCGTGAAAATTGAGTGTGCTGGAGAAAAGTTAAAAGAGGCAGAAGGTAGAACAATTTAAATTGGAGAATTAGGGTGACAAGAGGAGAAGATGACAGTGAGATATCCTACATTTAGGAGTGAACAAGGAAGGGAAAGGAGGAATGCACGAACCAAAGTGAACATACATAGTTTGGTATTCCACTGGTATGCAAATACACTGTATAAAACATCACAGTGTTTTTTAATTGATTTCCCTGTCCACCAATTGCCATTTCCTCTTTAAATGACAGTTGACAGTGCTAACTCCTAAACCCCTGTACAGAGAGTGACAGAGAGCAAGAAACCATCTCTGTATTCAGGTTTGAGTGGGTAGGAATGTACCATACCTGACTTCCTCGATGACAAAACACAAGCCAGTTGGACTCTACTGAAGCAAAGCGACAGTAATTGACTTATGTCCCTGCAGAGCCCAGCCTCTGCACATTGAGTGTTCAAATACAGCCTGTCACACAGAGCCCAGTACCCCCATAAAAAGACAGGAATTGTTATATGGCTTGCTATGAATTAGGTAGAAGCTGTATACAACAATGACAGGCTACACCCACAAAAGGCACTTCATTAAGATTAGTGTCAACTTTTGATAGGTGTAACATGAACAAACGTAATACAGGCTTTTCACCACAGTCAGACTGGTGCAGTGTGATTTTTATTTTTTTTTAGCTGATGGCTAGATGTGTAAGAGGCTGTTATGAGCTGTGTAGAGTTCATTCAAAGGACACCAAGCAGCAGTGCTACAGAATTGGTATTCCAGTCTTGACAGAAGTGGTCTGAAGATAGAGGAGCTGAGTGAGATGATCTATTTTGCTTCACACACACACACACACACACACACACACACACACACACACACACACAACATGTTGTCTTCCTGTGTACAGTAAATCAGTGTCTGCACTCACCCACCAGGCACAGATCCTGAAGCGCTTAACAACACATAATAGTTTGAGCTGCAGTGTGCCTAAACTAAGTGGCTGTGCTGTGTGACACTCAGATTGGCTGTTGGGTAAGCTAATCTCCCAGTAGCCCTTGGTGCTGGCTGAGAGGTGCAGCATACCAGAAAAAGAAACTCCAGCAGCTTACAGCAGTGTGGGCCGAGGCGCAGTGCTGCCGGGGGGGGGGCGGGGGAAGGGAAAGTGCGTCAACTTGTTAGTCAGAGCTTTGATTAGTGTTAAGGATGAACTAAGCTCCAAACAGGAGATGAAGTGGAAGAGGCAAAAAGATGGATGATTCAGTACATAGTCCAAGCCACAAACAATAGCATCTTCTACCAAAGGAGAACTCAAGAACCACATGATCTAAATAGAACCGAGTAACAGAGAGGATAAAAGAAAGCAAGGAATAAGTATGGAGCAGAGTGGAAAGTCTGAAAAGCCATGGAAGAGAAGGTGCTTTCCAAGTGTATGCTTGTTAAATTTGGTTAAAAACAACATTCATGTGTAAACACACAATGAAAATAAATCCTGTAGTGGATGTGTTTAGTTTTGTGTAACAGCTAGTACTTCACAAGTTACTTTACAGCAGAGTGACTGTGGAATACTCTTCTGTCTGGAATGTGAAACCCTACTGTGAGTGGATAGCCAAGTACCATGTTTGTGATTGTGTTGTATGTGTATGCACATGTACACGTGTGTCTGTTCCTATGGTCTGTACACATATGAGTATTTATTTTTTTGGATAATGGCACACTCTTTCAAACGGTCTCTCCTGGATGACATTCATAGTGTTGCACTCAGTTTACACGAAAAGCGATAGAAATAGAATTTAAAAAGAGCTGGAGAGAGGGGTTCCTGGTCCTGGTTCCTTTCTAACCTCTACACAGCTGGCCAGTCATGGCGTGGAGTGGGTGTGAATGTAGGTTTGTCAGTTTTGGAAAGTTACAGAAATTGTCGGACACAGCAACCTCCACGTTTCCAATGTTGGAAAGGTGTTGCGGGGGAGAGGGATTTCCGAAGCGATTCGACCACCAAGCATCTGGACTGAGTATACTGGCAGATTTAGACTCAAATCTGACTAAAGTCATAGTTTAACAAGACATCTAGTGAGAATTTAAACAAACAGTGGAATTAAGAGATCGATAGTTTACGGTTTTTAAAGGGATACTAAACTCTTAATTTGTTCTCGACTTTACTTGGTCACCCTGTTCATAGGTCTTAGTGGCAGTCAAACCGTTCACCTTACCATAGTCTGTGTTTCTGTTCAGGTACAGAAGATTCTCCAGTCCAGCCAACAGAAGGAGGGTATGGAGCTTAAGGCTCTGCTCACCAATCCTCATCTCCAGGTCAGATGTCTTTTTGTCAGCTTATCATATCTCTCCTTGACCTATGACATAAGAGAACAACAGTGAGGCTCAGCAAGCTGGCAAAGCTTTATAGATCAACTCATTTGTTTAGTTTAAATACCGATAATTGGAATACTGGAAATGTAATTATTATTATACTGTACTTATTCCAATAGGGTAATTGGTCAGAAGTCCGTATTAAGAATATAATAGATTATGAGAGGAAAAAACGGGTCTTACCAGCTCAAAGGCAACTGAAAGACAGTTTCACTTTGCCATCTTGTGGCACCAAATAGGCCAACTGGGTTAAAGGCAGACCAAAAGACAGATTGCTCATCATGATACATGATACAGTATACTGTACATCAAAACAGAATGAAAGAAATAGAAAGCAGGCACTTTATGATGGAAGTCATGAGGTCATGTCCCTTGAGCTGGCAGGACACATGGGCAGGTCAGATGCTTGCTTTACAGATGAAATTTTTTGACACATATTTTATTTGTTATCATTGTTATGTTGTTGTTATGTTTTTTTAAGGGTGTGCAAAGGTAAATTTTTTTCATGATCAATTACTCCGTGTTTTGTTACAAAGATTAATCTAGTGGGTCTCAAGAAAAGCCTTCATGTAAATTAGGTTGTAATGTGGGTCAGCTCTCTTGGTAATGAAAAAGCATGACTGGTGTGTTCTCTGCAGCAGTTTGTCGTTGAATCGAAATTCGAAATGGGTGTAATTAACTATTAGCAAAGAGGTCAAATATCTGTAAAAGTCTATAACTGTAATCAGTTATGAAAAATTTCTCTATCTGATTTGGCTGTAACCAGTTTAGTAAGAGGTCATACGGTACAGTGTCATGGCTGCTGTTGGCACAGCTGACAACTAGAGAATTAAGATGTTCTTCTTAGGCGTTCCACATGCTCTACATTTACGGAAACGATTATACATCACTGGGACGGGCAGGCCACTTCCACTGCTGTGTAAGGAGTCACATTATAAAAAGCCATACACACTTGATTTTGGTTACCTTTGCATTCATTCAGCGGGACATCTGTTCAGCATTTGGTATACCAGCATAAAAAAATCTAACAGATTTACATAAGATTGGATTAGATTGCTTTGAAGTGGCATAGACTGCTCTACATTTCTCAGTTTAAGGTTCAGTGATTCTTCTGTAGACAAAAATGGAGCCACATTATCAGACTGTCATCGTCCATTAGAGACGGAGACGGAGCAAGACCTCAGGTGGATGACTCTGCTGAGATTTTATGGTTGAGGGTCCTGACAGGGGAGCGCCAGGGGTCGGATGTTTGACCCATGTGACCGTGTGAACTACCATTTCTTCCATCGCCCTGTTAACCCCTCCAGTGAGCCAGATCCATGTAGCCAGCAGGGGCCGTATGATTTGATGTGAGCCTGCCTTGTGGCACAGAAAGTGGAACAGATTATGTTGGTTTCACTGCGGGGGAGCAGAGGATCACATGAGTCACCCCGTAAGTCTGTACAGGTAAACAACCTCATACCCCAAACTAATGGAGACAGGTACGTGTGCGAAAGGCATAGGCCCCCCTCAAGTCCACCTGTCTCCCTTTCACCGTTTTCTGGGACAGTGTTTCCTCACGAGCAGGGAAGCCAAAGGCATTTGATGATTGATGGCAGTGGATCTTAACTCCTAAATGCTGTGGGAGATTAAGACGGATTGTGCGTACGCCAAAGCTTAGCCCGGCCTCCGCTCTCTGAGGTCCCCTTTGCTGCAGGATAGAGAAACTAATTTGGACCGACGGTTATTAATTGTGAGATACGGAGCGCTTGTCACATTAAATGAAGTGAAGGAGCAGTCTCTGTTTTATTTGTGGCTTAGAGGTGGGTTTGCTGACTGGTCTTGTTAAAAAGATGGGGGGGGATGGTAGACTTCTGGTAGCAGATGCGTGTTTGAAAAACGTGTATCTTCAGTTCATCAGTTGACACTAACATGTACAAACCACTTGATAAATGCATGCCATGTTGTAAGCCGCAGTCATTTGATTTCATTGCCAACTATAGTCGTTAGTAAGGATAACATCTGTAATGACACAATCATCACAATGAATCTCTTTACGCTGCCTCCTCCTTTTACTTTTGTGTCTATCATGTGTTATTTTAAATTTCTGTATGTGCGTACTGTTTGTCTCTGTGTTTGTTTCATGTGGCAGGCACTGATGCAGGCCCATGACAGTGTGGCAGTACATGAAATGGCAGAGGAAAATGAGACCCAGAACCTTGGAGAGACAGTTAAACTGGTGCGGCTGGAGAAGACCCGCGACACTCCACTGGTGAGATGCCGTCTGTTAGTCTTTTTGAGGCAATGCTACTACTACGCTCTTTTATCGCTGTATGCAAATGTCATATTTATTTACAGCTTTACAGCCATTTATTTGCCTCATAATCATGAAAATCCACTCAGAGAGGCAAGGCAGTGAAATAGTTGTAATATCCACACAGGATGCAAATTCATTTATATAAAGGAACAAAAAAAAGAATGAGGACAAATGAGCCATTAAGACATATATGGATCTAAAGCATGTTATTGTGTTATATATTTTAAGTTTTGGTGTATTGTGTGTAAACCCAGTAAGAAAAAGCCTCTCTCAGCCTTCAACATGCTGCACCACTCAAATTTATCATCTGGGTGTGTCAGTGTCACTGTACCGACAAACCAACAGGGCAGCAAAATGCCTGTCAGTGAGAGCTCCAGGCACCCATTTCCAAACATTAGCAAAGACACAATGATGTTCACTGTATGTGACATATTTCTTTTTATTCAACCTGCTGCTCCTCCTTCATTTCAGAGAATATTATGGGTTTGAGGTGTGTCGTTTACTTATTAATTATCCAGGGTGTTGCTTGTTTTGTGAGATCATCTCACAATAATGTCATCTACAGTATATGAACTCTGTGTGTGTGTGTGTGTGTGTGTGTGTGTGTGTGTGTGTGTGTGTGTATGTGGGGCTAACAGGGTGCAACAGTACGGAACGACATGGACAGTGTAGTGGTGAGTCGCGTGGTGAAGGGCGGAGCAGCAGAGAGCAGCGGCCTTCTCAGTGAGGGAGATGAGATCCTGGAGATCAACGGCATTTCTATTCGTGGGAAACATGTCAATGAAGTCCATGACTTACTGGTGAGAACATTCAATCATAATAATTCATGGGAAATTAACTGTTTTACAACTTGATTTTATTTCATGGGAAACCAGCTTTGTTGTATTGTACATGTGTGGCCATAAAATGTCTTGAAAACTTAAATTATGTACATATAATTCCATAAAAGGCATTAGAATTTATTCATAAATGGTGGTCTTACTTGGACCATCTGTTTCTCCACAGCTGGTGACAAGTTTTACTTCATATCCACTTCTAGGTTAATTTTAATCAGTTTGACAAACATGTTGAGCCTCAGACGTTTCATTAGGTGGTTGTTGAAACCATTCTGAGATGGTTTTCATGCCATTGCAACCCTAGTGGTTGTTGTTTGTAATGTTGGTGGGTTTCACTTTCTTTCATACACTATAGGCACAAACACTCAAAACAACAAAATTATACCAAATTATGAGTGTTGTGAATATACATAAATTTTAAGAGATCATTATCTTAACATTAATGTTTGTTTGTAACATAAATACCTGAGCGGTTGTTTTTGAAAAGAGGCACTCTCAAAATATAATGTACATACATCCAACTGCTAAGCAATAAAACATTGCTAAAAGTTTGAGGCCCCAGGTAAATACACTAGGGCTGCAACTAAGACTATTTTGATAGTCGATTAATCTATTGATTATTGAAACGAATAATAGATTATTCGGATTATGAATAGCAAAATTACACAATGCGCCTTATTTATCAGCTTTTAAATTAAACTTGAGGTTGTTTTAGGCATGTGCTAATTAACAGTCACAACAATAAAATACATACTGTTTTCAAAAATGCATATTTTAATGAACGTTTCTGCTGCAGCAACAGAAATGTCCTCTAAAATCAAGTACTGATCTCAGCAGCTGATGTGCTGTTTAGTGACTGAGCAGTTTACACACCAGTACTGCAACACACCGGGACAAACTGACACCATATACAAAGAAAGGAATAACGTCATGCATTACATTTGCCGAATTTACAGGGGGGTCAATAATTATTATAATAATCATTATATTCATTAACGATTTTATAGTAGACAGCGTTTCACAAAGTTTATATATTTTCCCCTAACTCAACAACTCACAAAACTCCGATTTTGAACTCTGAGAGTTTGGGGCACATTAGCCGCAGCCTCATGCATTGACAGGAGAACTGTTGTCTCTTCTTTAGAAAGTATGAAATTGTCCGGTGTTGTCTAATCTTACGCACTCGGCAGCAGCACGTTCTCCAGCTGGGAACATCGCCATGAGCGATGCATCGTTTATGATTGTAAAGTCAGGGCACATCTGGAATGTGAACGCGGCCGTTGTGTATCATAAATGTGCTATTCTCAGCGCCATTAAAAATCAATCAAATTGTCTGAAGCAAACTGTATAGAAAACGTTACAGCTCACAGCGTGAAGTAACACGGCTCTAGCTTACCGAGACGAGTTTTCATCATCAACAGAGCAACAGCGTTAGGCGCCTCCTCTTCAGATGCTCCGGTGTTTCCAGGAAAGCTCAGCTTTGCAGACGCTGCAGTTAACAACCTTTTTGGCTGATTGAAGAGTGAAGTGTTGCCACACTCAGGAGGTTTTAGGTGGTGAAGGTGTTACCGCAGCGCTGATGTTGTGGCGTTAAGGCCCGATGACGTCATGAACGAATCGATTATTAAATTCGTTGGCAACAAATTTAATTTTTGTCGACTACCTCGACAAACCTAGTTGTTGCACCCCTACATACAGTCAGTAAAAATGATTGCTTTATGGAAATGTGATCCCTGTCATGTTTAATTCATTGCATTCCATCTTTTCCAACAGCAACAAATGCAGGGCACTCTGACCTTCCTCCTCATCCCAAGCTCTCAGATTAAACCTGCGCCTCACAGACAGACTGTGGTAAGTCTCTAATGATGTGGGTGTGTGCATGTGTGAGAACGCATGTCTGCATGCGTGCAACGCTAACCTTGATTTTGTAAACCCTGTCCTCAGATGCACGTACGAGCTTACTTTGACTACGACCCCTCTGATGATCCCTTCGTGCCGTGTCGGGAGCTGGGCCTGTCCTTCCAGAAGGGAGATATCCTCCACGTCATCAGCCAGGATGACCCCAACTGGTGGCAGGCCTACAGGGACGGAGATGAGGACAACCAACCCCTGGCTGGACTCATTCCAGGTAGGGGACAGACCAGGGCTGCATATCAATTTGTTGTTTATTGCTTCACAAGGGCAGATAACTGCAAGGACAAATTGCCAATACAAACAATCTAGAAGAATAATTTACAGGTGTGGTAAAATGTATAAATATGTGTATTTTATAGTATCACAGTATTCATTTTTGTATATAGGTGAAATAGCATATATATAAGATACGGAGAACTAAACTACACAATGTACAAAATATATTAAAACTTAAGTACATGGCATGTCCACTTGTATATTTTATAACATAATTTTTATACATACATCATTTTGCCTGTTTGGTATGTTCACAACCTGTCCAGTGAACATGGCTCTAAAACATGAGCAAAGGAGCAACAAAATTAGAGTTGCATGCAAATGAAGGTCTTTGACGTTACATTGAGAATAAACGCCGGAGGGCAAGGACATTTTTCAGCATACTTGGTTTATAAAGCAGTCATTCCATCAGCAAGTACAAATGAAATGCAAGACAGAAATGTGCAAATAAATTGAATAATTTGAATTAATTTGTTGATTTAAAATTGTCCAACCAACCTTTTTTATTTTTATATTTTACCTTTATTTTACCAGGAAGTCCTGTTGAGATCAAAAATCTCTTTTACAAGAGAGACCTGGCCAAGGTAGCAGCCATACATAAACACAACATATTAAAATGATACATACACAACATGACAAAATTCACAATAAAACAAAAAAACATCTATTCAAACACAATGGCCTCTCAAGAAAAACAACCACATGCCTCCTCCACCACATTCTTTATGACGCTCTTAAATTTATCAAACAATATATAAGTTTCTAATTTCAGATCTTTTAGCAAATTATTCCATTCAGACAGAGAAGAGTACAGAGGTAAGCTGGAAGTTTACCTAGCAAAAATATACCAGTGCTGTTGTCTGCGGGTGGTCAGTGTCCAATCCACCAAATCATAAAAAATGCAATGGTGAGTAAGGGAATTTGCATTTGTAATAACACGTAGAGATGCATAATACACCAAATCATGGCTCTGTAAGATGGAGGAGGCACACCTTTGTATGTGAATATCAGAATATGTCATTGTGAGGGACCAAGCTGTCAGGCATGAGGAGTCAGAAAGTAAGATTCAAAAAAATATATTATTTTAAGCACAAAAAAAAAGCTAATTTACGAAACAAATTAGAAAATTCTGGGCCCATAAAAGAGGTCAACTAAACAGAACTTAACTCAACTAACATAACCTTAACATAAGCTGTAAAAAACAGACCTAGACTAACTAAACAGACTGAGACATGGGGGAAACTTAGTGGCTGATCAGGCCATTCTGACACAAAGGGGGTAGACAGACACATAATATATAAACAAACCACCATAACTGCAACAAATGTTTCCAATGCTACCTAATATGAACTATGGGTAAACTAGCAAAGAAAAGAACACAACTCAAAAATGGAATACTCTGCCACCCCCATGATATGGGAAAACATGGCGCAGTCCAATTATTCATTCCCCTACTTAAACAGCTTAGAGGCAGTTGGAAGTCCTTTTGCCTTTTGTCAGCCAGCGACTCCTTGCAGCAACTCCCCAGGAACTGGTAACTTGAAAAGAAAGGTATCAGTTTCATAGAATGTAACTTAAAGATAATGAACCTGAAATTAGCTAAATTGACAAAGTTAACTAAATGTGTGCAAATAGGAAACAAAGTCAAATAACTAATAAAACTGTTTTTAAAACTAAAGTGTGTGTGTCCAGTTATTTATTTATTTATTTTGTATAATATGTAATGTGCTCAAAACAAATGAAAGAGTTACCACCGTGAGTTGTTGTTGTTTCCATGTGTGGCTGCTAGTGCAGCCATCAGTCATCCACAATGTTTGTAGACTGTATTAAAGCCTCCTAGAGTTATTCATTAATTAATAATTAAATCCCTACAGTCATCAACAACAGCCTTGTAACACAAACCGCATTGTATACATGTACCATCATTAGTAAAACTGTCAGGAAAAAAACAACAAATACAAAGATTTTACAGTTGCATTTAAAAGAATCTATAGTGCTCATGTCTTATGTCTTAAAATATATTAAGTAAACATTTATCAAAATGCAGGATACTTGATACCAGCATATCAGTAATTAGTAAACAACACAGCACTTCTCATAGTATATTGCCAAGTGGATTAATATGTCCATTCCTTGTAGTCTGTGGGAATAGTCATTGTAAAGTACTTTAAAGTTGTTTGTGACAAATAACTTAGCTGGCACTACTATGCTGGCAGGAAACACTACCCATCTGGCACGTCAAGCAGATTAAAACACCTAAGAATTATTTGAGATTACTCTCTGACCAGGCCTGTTGTGGCAGGAAGAAAAAAAAGGTTAAGCACTGGAAAAGGGAAACTTTTGCCTGTTCCTCAGGTGAGGAAAGTCTAGGAAGAGTTTGAAGAAAAATTCTACGCCTAGAAACATCACTTGTCAGTAATATTTGCCCCTGAGTGTAGTGATCCAGTGTATGCTTTGTGTGTGTGTGTGTTATCCATAAACCATAAAGACATATTATTGAACACCAACCAGAATGTTCAAACCCATTAGGACTTACATTTTTAAATAAGTACGTGCTTTTGAAATGGAAAATACAGTGCTTTGCATTGAGTTGCAGTGCTGGATATCTGATCTGTTTCTCTTTGCCTTCCTCTTTTTCAGGGAAAAGCTTCCAGCAACAGAGAGAGACCTTGAAGAAAACTATAACAGACAGGAGTCGAGAACACCAAGGTAAGCGTTAAATGTTGAAACACACACTATGTGGTGAGAAAATGCAAGACATAATTTGCAAAGTCAACCATTTTGCATCCACCCTGACTCACATAAAAAAAGGACTTTGTTTGTAACAAAGTGAATTGATGGTTCCCTTTATAAAGCAAAGATGTTTTGACTTGTCGTTTCTCCAGGGAAGCTTTGGTATGCGAAGAAAAGCAAAAAACAGAGGAAGAAGAGCACAGCAAACTTGAACAAAAATACTGGTAAGGCTCTACTTTTTCTTGTCTTTTTTGTCTCTTCAAAAGCTTAACAGTTTGAGAAGTGGGTTGCACGTTTGCAGTCGCTTCCTCAAAACCCACTGTTAAGTAGCTACACACCTAACCCTTAAAACTCCTGTTGTTGCTTCTCTTTTACCAACAGTAAGAAAGACTGCTCTCCTGTCCTGGGTAGCTTCCAAGTGTCAGTATTCAGTATTATCCCCACACGTTAGCTGGAGTTGACATGTCTTGTCGTTTTCGCAGTAGCCTGTCCAGACTCAGTTTGTCACAGGTCAGATTAGTCTTCACAGACGGGATCAGAGGAGGTCCCAGCAGGTGCCAACAGATGCCAGCGGGTATCTAAATGGCTTGAAGGGACCCGTGGTGTTATTGGTTCACACATAGAAAGACATACAGTATCTCACAAAAGTGAGTACACCCCTCACACTTTTGTAAATATTTGATTATATCTTTTCATGTGACAACACTGAAGAAATTAAACTTTGCTACAATGTAAAGTAGCTTGTATAACAGTGTAAATTTGCTGTCCCCTCAAAATAACAAATCACACAGCCATTAATGTCTAAACCGCTGGCAATCAAATATTTACAAAAATGTGAGGGGTGTACTCACTTTTGTGACATACTATGTATACTCAGACAGACACTCTAGTGGAACTGCTCAGTGGTCGACGGTAGCCGACTGTGATCTTATTTGTAACTGGGAGGGTCGAATATGAAGCAGCACAATGTTAAAAACACTGTATGCAACGTAAAATTTACACACAAACATGGGAATATTAATATAAAAGTGTGTTGTTTTATTGATCTCTTAATCTTTCCTGCCTCCAAAGAGAGGTCAAAGGTCAGAGTTAGTTACAGAACAGCAGTCCAAGAGCTAGAAAGGATTTGCAATTGTCTTTTCAGACTACGATGACATCCTGACCTACGAGGAGATGTCGCTTTATCACCAGCCTGCCAACCGGAAACGTCCCGTCGCTCTGATCGGCCCCACAAACAGCGGCCACGATGAGCTGCGTCGGCGACTTCTGTCCATCGAACCGGAAAGGTTTGCTGTTGCTGTTCCACGTAAGTCAGTTTTTTTTTGGGTTTTTTTGGGTTTTTTTACAAAGCATTAGGACACAAATATTCAACAACTCATGATTCCAGATGAGGAACATAACATTTATTTACAAGGTACATGGTTGTTTATTTGTCATCATACAGCACAATAGCTGCATAACAAAATGAAATTTGTAGTTCCTTCATGCTACACACACCATATAAGGACTATATTAAAATATAAATAAAATTATAAATTTTGGGATTCAGTTAAAAATTCATAATTTGACACGACCTTTCTTTAACTGTGACAACATTCTCAAATTTCTGATGTAAATATATTTTACTAACAATTTACTGTGTATTTTTTGATACTGCCACTTTTTGCCACAGTTTTTGCGATAACTCAAATTTCTTTATCTTTTTCATGGATCAGACACAACCAGAAACCCGAGGATACAGGAGCGGAATGGCCGCGAGTACAATTTTGTGAGTCGGCCTGCCTTTGAAAGCGACTTAGCGGCAGGAAAGTTCATTGAGTCTGGGGAGTATGGGAAGAACTTGTACGGCACCAGCACTGACTCAGTTCGACAGGTCGTCAACTCTGGACGCATCTGTTTGCTCTGCCTCCACACCAGGGTAGGAGACTGAGCGCTTATTGCTGTCTGGACGAGTCCCAACATTTTTCTGTCTGTTAATTACAAATTGCATTTCCTCCCTCTGTCTCAATCTGAACCATTGTGGCTTAGCCAGAACATAATTATAGCTTTTTATATCCTGAACATAACATCCAAACATCCCAAATTATTTTTTTGTTGTTGATAATAACGCCTTACTGCTGACTGATACGTCTGTAAAGAGGACGCCATAGTATGGTTTGGTTTGGTATACATTTAGCCTGATTTGTCTTTATTTCATATTTTTATACGTCCCTGTGTGTTGTCAGTCACTGCAGGTATTGAGGTGCTCCAACCTTAAGCCCTATGTCATCTTCATCGCTCCTCCAGCACAGGAACGACTACGCACCCTGCTGGCCACAGAGGGGAAAACACCAAAGGTACAAATTTCACTCTTTAAAGTTAATTTGATCATCATGCATGCAGTTATTTGCAGAACATGGACTACATTTTTAAGCAAAATTGAGCATTTAACATATATCACAGAAAATTAAAAGAAGTGTTTTTCTAGGGATTTTTTTATAATTTTTTTTTTGCAGGGATTTTTAGTTTAGTATAGGGTGGTGATAGTAAGCATTTATGATTTATGTCCAATACAGCATAGTCATTTTAGAAGTCACCACCCACCCACAGACTAAAAAGCAATGTCTCGTTTTCTGTGCACAGCCTGAAGAGCTAAAGGAGGTCATTGAAAAGGCCCGCGAGATGGAGCACAATTTCGGCCACTTGTTTGATGCAACCATCGTGAACATGGATCCAGACCAGGCTTTCCACGAGCTGCGCAGGCTGATAGACAAGCTGGACACTGAGCCACAGTGGGTGCCCACCTCCTGGTTGTGCTAGAGGTCACAGGCAAACACCGCAGGGAGCCGCAAAGGTAGAAGTTAAACAGAAGAGCACAAATCTATTTTCCTGGAGACTGAAAAATGGAGGATGGACAGTGCTGATTTGTCACTGGATTTTTCACTCACACATTCTCCTCGTTTATAGAGGGGGTGATCTTTACCACGTGTTGCAGGGATGGACTCAAGTTTCTTACATCTCGTTGTGTGTGCGTGCGTGTGTGTGTGTCTGTGGGTGATTTCTTATCAGTTTGTTTTATGAAGGTTCTTGTTGATCTCAGTTTTATGCAAAGTCATTTATCAAACAAATAGAAATATTTCTATCCTGTCCTTCATAGTAATTTATAATTGTAAATATATATTTTGTAGACCAAAGGATATTTTATTGTGGCATTTTGTGTGTGTGTTATCCAAAACGGTACACTCAACTGGGAGAATGTCAGTGTCAATTATAATGATAAAGCAGTAAGCCAAAAGCTGTTTAGGTAACAAACAGAAGAGCATGTGTGCTTAAAGTGGCTGTAGTGTAAAGTCTTCCATTCAGAACCTGCAGTTTTGGGATACTTCCTCTACACAAGTGTCAGTATTATTTCACGTTGTCTCATGTCTCATTTACTCTGTGATAAGACCTCATATCTAAGGTATTGTCTCTAGCTGGTTATCATTACTGCCGGTATATATCATGCTGCAAAGCACTGCTGCAATTGTTTTGTTTTTTTGTCAGTATTGTAACAAAACATTTCATCACTTCGTGTAACTCCATACAGTATTGGTTCTTTGCAGGGTACGTATTAAATCATAAGCACAATTCTGGAAGAGTTAATAAAATACATAATGTGAACAAGTGATGTAGGTAGTGAATGCATTGATTTCACTTGCCTTGTAATTTGTTAGAGAACATAATTCAGTTGGTAATATTGGCGTTACAACACAAATGTGTACTAATTCAACCCTAAAAATGTGTTAAATGTAGCATTCTTGTGCAAGATGGCTGCCATTCCTCACCCAGCCGAGTTACCGAGACACTTGAGGCACAAAATGTTTCCTAGCGCACGTTGACAGAAATTTGATCCCAGTACACATTTTTACATTCAGAACTAAAACGCTTCAACATGAGTGCAAAATCCTGTTTGACTGATTGTAAATCTGCTTGAACATGTAAAAGCTCTTATCACGGCAAGAAATCCAGGGAATGGTTGAATATTGGTAACATCTTTATTTGGATTAAGTGTAGGGCTTTGTTGACTTGCACTAAGTTTTACAGCGGGGTCTCCTTGGGGTTTTCTGGTACAACGGTAAACATCCTTGAGGTAACAACAACCCCGTGACCTTGGCGGGCCAGGCCTCCACAACACCGACTCACACAATCTACAACCACATTAAGCTTTACAGCATGCAATGGCTCTAAATGTTGTGAGGAAACTGAAATATCTACAAGTTGATCCGTCACTTGGAATGCTTCAATTTCACACTCAAACCATGTGTAAACACACTTATATTTAGTTACTCTTGTGGTTAAGAGCCAAGTGTAACAACACTTTGGTTCTGTACAGTGACAAATCTGGAAACACACAGAACCTCCCAGCACTTAAACAACAGGGCAAATCATCACAGACAAGCACACAAAAAAAAACAACTTTCATCACTTGCGTGAGAAGACGTTTACATGGCCTGAGAGAATAAATAGGATGATGGGTGAAGTCTGTGCCTTTAGAGTGCTTCACTCGAACAGCATGTCTTCATCAGTCTCCTCCGTCAGCAAGTTGGTGGGTTCTGCGATGGGACCCAGCTTAGCCAGACGGTCGGCAATCTCCAGTTCTGTCCGTTCCCTGAGCTGCTTCTTCTTCTCTTGGATTTTCTTCAGCCTAGTGGAGGAGGAAATATGTTCAGTGTTATAACAAAATTAGAAGGCGAGGTGGCCAGTACATGGATTTGGCTTTTTTCTTTTTTTTTTTTATCTGGATGTATTAGACTTCTAGAAAATGTTTTCACCTGTAGAACTCCTCTCGTTCTCTCTCATCCAGCTCTGTGATGATGTAGGTGAGGGTGCGATCAATCCGTGGAATAATCACTGCAAAGTGGAATAAAGATGAGCTACAGTGACAGTCTTTGTCCAGAAGAAAAGGGCAACACTTATCTTAATTAAGCGTGAATTTACCATGCTCGATAGCGTTCACACGGCGGTTGGTAATCTTTATAGCTTCATCCAGAGTGACAAAAGATGTCTACAGACAGAAAATGGGCAATGTGTATCAGAATCTCACATAGTGAGACACAGTTCATGAATTTGACTAGCATTTCATTAAAAAAAGTTTATTTCCAGTGATAAAACAAATACTCTATGCAAGTATTATAAACCAAATCAACTTTACATATTTGAAAAAGTATTCATAATGCAGAATGGCCCCTTTAAGAGTGTTGGATTATTATTACTGGTGCATTAAGCAGCATTTTAATGTTGAAGCTGGTCGAGGTGAAGCTACTTTATGCTTTTGGGTAGTTAAATCTTCCCAACATATTTTACACGCTGATCATAAGTTTTGCATGTAAAATTTCTATTTGCAGGTAACTAGTAACTATAGCTGTTTAATAAAGGTAGTGGAGAAAAAAAATACAGTATAATGTAGCATAAAATGGAAACACTTTGGTAAAGTACAAATATCTAAACATCCCCCCCACCTGTAAGGAGGCCAACTCCACCAGCAGCTCAACAGCTCTGGCGTAGTTCCTCTTCAACCTGGAGAGCTGCTCTCCTCCTCTGGCCAGACCAGTCAACTCATAACCTGAAAGACACAGCGAGGGTGACATCTCTGTCGGTCCATAGTCACAAAAGCTACTTTCATCAAAACAGTGACTTACTGTCCCCGCCTTCTTGGTAGTGCTCAAACACTGGAAGGGTGACACCTAATAGGAAGAAAAACACGTATGTAAGAACGTGCTGCATCAACGGTGATTGTAAAAAAATTTTAAATGTAAATATTTTTTAGGCTAACCTGCCACGTTGTCTTTCTTGGCTCGGACCTTCACTTGAGCTTTGTTGACATTCTGGATTACAGTTGTGCTGCAGATGGAATTACAGATGTGAGTTACAAATGCATCTGCACCAAACATCACATCACATGATGTTTCTCTGATTCTTACCTGAAGTCTCCGGCTGTAAATTTGGCTTCAGCCAAAGAGAAGGCCGCCTCTCTCATCACCTCTCCCATCTTTGTCTTAGTCTAAAGAAAAGAGATGAAAAGTCCACCTTTAGCAAACCATCTGGAGTTATTAAAGAGACAAATGCATGGAGAACAAGGTCAGTTGACAATCATCTGACTGACTGACTTCGATAATTTTGCGGAGGATCTGACGGAAGCGCATGGAGAGGGCATCAGATTTCTTCCTGAGCAGGTTGCGGCCGGTCTGCGCCCCTTTCAGTCGAGCCTTCATGATGGTCTGAGCCCTGCAAACCCAAACAACACAAATACATTTTAAATTCTGTATTTGAATCTCACCAATTATACCCCAAGTATACAAGATTCAAATATTTACATAGGCTTCGTACATTAACACATGGGTAAAGAAAACAGCCACTTTTTATGACTAGCTTTTTTTTGTTTTGCGCATTGTAAGGCACTAACAGGCAGCCATTTTTTGTCTGATGTACCCCCCTTGGCCAAGTCAGACCATTTCAAATACACCTTCATCATCACCCCTTCAATAGAATGGACGTTTCAGCCATTTCTATTTTTTATTTTGTGTGTCTTTTCTTACTAGTTACTTTTACTACTTTTCATTGCTTTACTTGCTGTTAAGTAACTGGTTGGTGGAAAACTGAGGTGTGTCTTGTGCAGTCAGATCACAATTGGTAAGTCGTTGTTACATTTACATTCATCTGACAGACACTTTTGTGACAATAAATATATTAAAGATTAGTACTGCAAGTTTGTAATCCCATTTGTGTATTGATTTTCCAAATATGTGGATATATATCATCGAATCATAATTTCTGTTTATTCAAAGTAGCTCAGTTACTCCACACCCCCTGGTAACTACAGAAGTATGCCCTTGGGTACAAGTACTCACTGATATTTGTAACCAAGGAGGGACACCTGATCAGTTCATTTAAAAAAAGCTTCATCCATGTACAGATCAAAAACAGCCCATCTGTAGAATAAAAACTTCTCTCTCCCACACATAAAAGCTTTAAAAAAGCTGACGCTTGAATCTATAAAAGGTAAAAATTACTAGACTTTACAGACAATACAGGAAACTTTAGTTATACAATGATAAACTCAAGGCGGTTGCAGTCTGGAGGTCAGTATGTTTCAGACACCATCTCAGTGTGACAGCTCAAACTGGGACCATAAACATCACATGACAAATGAAGGACTGTTCCTCTTTTACACAGCAACCTGGCAGCGATATAAACTATATTTAGGCTTGAATCACACAGAACAAGACTGTCATCCCTTCATGTGAGATAAACCGAGCTTTCCAGCAGATGGGAGCAGGAAATTATCAATCTGGGAGACTGGGAAGCAATAATCATTATATAACCAAACAGCATCCTTTTTTAATAGCTGGCTAACAAGCTACAGTGTGTTAGCAACTAGCTAGCAAACAAGCTGCTTACATTCTAGAGGGGAATATGTCGATCCTTTCTTTTCCAGACATCTTCTCGTCCTTTGGTCGATGACTGCGGTCTTCTGTTTACTTCCGTCTCCTAAAATGAACACTGACACGTTACCTTTTGTTATATTCTGTGTCAGCCCATACATATACTACAGAAACCCCGTTGATGCTCGTGCAGGATTTAGAAACACAGATCTAGCTGATCGTCGTGATCTTGTCCGACTCTCGGGTCCGTGATGATCAGCTGGCCTCCGGTCATGTGACTGAACCGAACACCGTTGTGCACATGCGCATGTCGGAAGGCTCTGGCGATCTTTTCCGGGTCGAGAAATTAGCACACCCATGTATGTGAGCTAGCGGGCCAAGAACTCTTCATTTAAAAAAGTCTCCGCAGAAAAGATAATCGGGACATTTAAGCACTTCCAGCACAGAACATTCCAGTGTATCGTTCTGTAACCATATGACACAGGTGAGTTTTTTATTGAGAAAGGAGGTGTTTACCGGGGAGGTGGGGAACACACGGGGCTGCTAGCTGGCTAGCCTCGTCAGCAGTGCATGTGCCGCATGTGAGTTGGGAACAGGGTTTATTAGCCAGGAAGCTAACGGAATATTAAAGTGACTGTTTTTTGGTCCTTAAATGAGATTATGGTCTCAGTATTGAATTATATAACTGTTACTAACTACAGTCGCTGTTAATATGCTACAGTACAATTATGTATTGCGTTATTATTGTTAGTGTTTTCAGTTTTTGCTTTTAACTGAAAACAGTAAGGGGCTTCTAGTTGATCTGCATTGCATCATCCCATTCACATCCCAGTATGTTAAATAAAAGCGCCAGAGCCTGACATTACACTGCAAGTTCACTTAAAACTGCTGTAATTATTTTGGGGATATTTTCCAGGCTAAACTCATAGGAAGTGAAACACAGGCAGAAACAGAATTAAAAATGTCATTTCAATTGTTTTCAGACTGTTAATTTAATATTTAAGGCGTGTTTTTACTATTTTGTCCACCCCATTTATATAATTCAGGATATCCTAAATGTTAGAAACATCTATCACTATAAGCCTGAGCTCTGAACCTTCATGAAGACATCTGTTGTTACACTGCTTCAGTTTTAGTTAGGTGGACCTAATGAACTGGCAACTATGCTAGAAATCATTTCACCTGGCCTAGATCTGAAGTGATGATGTAGCATTTGATATTGACTTGTCTCCACAGGCTACCGGATATTTTTTAATTCAACATTTTATTTGCAAGTCAGTGTTATTGTAATCAGAAAATGTGCCTATATATTGCTCTGTGAAATCACCATGGGTCCTGGCATTGTGTCCTTGTAGTTGGTGCATTATTTGTCTGTAGATCAGTGGATCAGTATGTATTGTTGTCTACTTCATCACAAGTTATCAACCTTGTGTGGATGTGAAATGAAACCAGCTTATAAATGTGAATTGTTTCTCAAGAAAAAAAAGCCAAAAAACTTTGAGAACAGAGTAAGTTAACATAGTTTATGTCTTTATATCTTGTAACCTCTCAGATATATTTCTTGGGACCCTTTGGGGCATCCCAAACCCCAGGTTGGAAACCATTGCTGTAGATGTTATTATCATCATCGTCGTCGTAATCAAATTTAGGGCTGCAACTAACAATTATTTTCATTGTTGATTAATCTGTTGATTATTTTCTAGATTAATCGATTAGTTGTTTGGGTTCTGACATCTTATAGACCAAAGATATTCAGTTGCTGCCATAAAGGAGTAAAGAAACCAGAAAATACATCATTCAAGAAGCTGGAATCAGATAATTTTTGTTTAAAAAATGACTCAAATCGATTATCGAACAGATTGGCTATTAATTTAGTAGTTGACAACTAATCTGTTATTCGATTAATTGTTCTAGCCCTAATCAAATTAAAACTGAGCTGTACAATATTGAAGATATAGAAAAAACATAACACTCTTTTTAAAAGGGCGATTTAGTATCACACTTCTATAAAGTTGGGTCAAAAATCCTGTTCAGAACCAAAGCAGCAGAGGCTGAGATATCCTGACTTTTAATTTCTAGTTTAGGCCTACAATCCCCATAGTCTTCTGTCATCATCTTTCAGACTCCACATACCCAGTTTGTAACACACGCTTCCTGTTGAAAACTTTGTTGTATTCAAGCCTACAAACGATTTAACTTTGATTACATCACTATGGCATCATCTGGGTTATCGTCTCAAACTTTAGAAAACTCCCTCCAGAAACACAGAAGCCATTATACTGACATTAAACTACAGTTGTTACTGTAATCCTTTTCATGACGTGCACTGCAAACTGACCATGATGTCTAAAATTTGTGGCCTGTCCTGTCTCTCTTTGGTTCTGTTCTGTCAGCGATGCCGGGGCTCAGCTGTCGATTTTACCAGCACCGGTTCCCAGAGGTGGAGGATGTTGTGATGGTGAACGTGAGGTCCATCGCAGAGATGGGCGCCTACGTCAGCCTTCTGGAGTACAACAATATCGAGGGCATGATCCTCCTGAGCGAACTGTCACGTCGACGTATCCGCTCCATCAACAAGCTCATCCGCATAGGCCGCAATGAGTGCGTCGTCGTCATTCGAGTAGACAAAGAGAAGGGTAAGTGCAGGCTGGAGGGTGCTAAAGAGCTGAAAGCCGGTGGGTCTAGTTCACACTACACGATTTTTAGCCCGATTACTACACGATTACCCTCGACCGTCAGGCTGTGATCGGGGGTAAATCAGCGGTCAATCGGTGGTCACCAGTCGTTATGTGTGAACTACACAATGACCCAAAATGGCCCCCTGAGACATTTCTGACACATCGCCGACGTCTGCCAGATATCTAGCATGCCAAATATCTGGAAGAGTCGGTTGACTCGACATCCACATCCAGCTAATGAGAGCAGGCAGCTGGCAGAACAGGCAGCTACTTTTTCTCCGCAAAACACTTTTTACTCACCTCCAGCTCTCTGTAGCACAGAAAGTCCCTGCTACTTCCGTGTGCTAATCCATTCTTTCACCCATATTTTTTGTCTTTATAATTGCAATTCTTTATAATAACAAACAGCAGCTGTTTTATGTGTAGGTTTGCATCATTTCCCGTTTCACATTTCACGTGTGTTTTCTTCACAAAGCGTGGTTTGGAGACCAGCGTCGGGTGACAGAGTCCTTGTCAGCTCTCGTAGTGTGTCACCAATCAGTCACGTAGTGTGAATGCCACAGTGACTTCAAGACTCCCGTCACAAGACGGAAAGTTGTGTAATGTGAACGGCATGGCCATCGGCCGACGCTGAAAATCGTGTAGTCAGCGCAAGCCTTAAGGTTGTATAAAGGACAGTTACTTTCTGGTTGCCAGTGGCAGGTGGAATAGACATTATGTAACAACCACAACAAAAAATTGTGACTGAACTTTCATCGATATGATTACAAGATAACCTGGAAAGTGAGATGCGAATATAGCAGAGGCACTAAGGTATAGCTCACTTCTGACTGTACCCCGCTGTACCTTAAACACCAGTCACATTCTGAAATCTACAGTATAACCAAAGGAATTTTCTATTTTATTAATTAATTAAAATCCACCTAAAACAACATGTTACTGGCTGAGATGACGTGTATATTAGATTGTACTCTGCATGGAATTACATTATTTTTCTTTGTTTTGATATTCATCCCCAGCCGCCCACTCTCCAAATGTCATTGAATAAATCATATTGGTCAACCTCTAATACCTCTGTCTAGTTGCAGAGCCCCAAAATGTTCCTTAAAATGAGTTTAGCCTGATCAACTGTAAAACAGTGTATTTTATTTGTAATAATGGAGCCATTAAGAACATCAAGCTACATGTGAAGCCTAAACCAGAAAGTGACCCATCAAATTTGGAATTGCTTATTTGTCATTGTATTGATTAATCAGTTAACTGTATCAGCATTAACCGTTCCAGGCGTCCCAGAAACTATTAGCACTTTGACAGCCAGCTCCTTCTGAACTCATTTCTGTTCAGATTCTGTCCTGTGAGAGGATTCTGAATCTATTGTGCCATGGAAAAAATGTCACATCACCTCTTCTCTGCTTTGTCTTCAGGGTACATTGATTTATCAAAAAGAAGAGTTTCACCCGAGGAGGCCATCAAGTGTGAAGATAAATTCACCAAATCTAAAACTGTAAGTTTAATTGTGCCCAAAGGCTTAATAAACAAAGTAACTATTGAAATAACTGCAAGCATGTGTCAGCATTGTTAAAAAGGGACTCTTTCATATATGACAAAGGTCATATCATCATAAATACAGTTTAAAGGAAACAGGTGATCGCCTTTCTGTGTATTTCTGGATTATGAAAAACTATAGCATCCATGAGTTTTTCGTTTCGTTGATCTTTTATAAACTTTTCAATGTTTTTATGAGTCTGACCTTTGAGTACTGGCACTGAGCTGATGCGGGTTATTGTGTTTGCAGGTGTACAGCATCCTGCGACATGTGGCAGAGGTGCTGGAATACACTAAGGACGAGCAGCTAGAGAGCTTGTACCAGCGCACTGCCTGGGTCTTCGATGAGAAATACAAGCGGCCAGGATACGGTGCTTACGACGTTTTCAAACAGGCCGTATCGTAAGTTGTCGCGTGTTAGTGCGAGGCTAATCACAGGAACGTCTTAAAACACAAGGAACGTATGCAAGTGATGTTTTATTTGATGAGGTCAAATCAAAACACTGAATATCTTTCCTCCCTCAGAGATCCTGCCATTTTGGATGGGCTGGACTTAACAGAGGAGGAGAGGGCCGTGCTGATTGATAACATCAATAGGCGACTCACTCCACAGGCTGTCAAAATCAGAGCAGGTAACCGTGTACTTTAAATGCAACATTTGACCATGAAGTAACACTGTGAAGATGTGACAACCTGTTCATCTTTTTCCTCTCCCACCTGCAGACATTGAAGTGGCGTGCTACGGGTATGAGGGCATCGATGCAGTGAAGGAGGCTCTGAGAGCCGGTCTTGGCTGCTCTACAGAGGCCATGCCCATCAAGGTAATATTGGTGCTTCAACCACTCTCAGCTATACGTTCGTACACTCTCTTCTTTTTATATGCTGTATAGACTAAAAGGAATTACCAGGTATAACCCACTGCTTTTGTTTTATTTTGGAGGGGGTAAGCGCTGTTAGTGTAAATGCCTCTGATGCAGTGTTAATAAGACTAGTATGATCTTGTTCTTGGCAGATCAACCTGATCGCTCCTCCTCGCTACGTCATGACAACGACCACTCTGGAGCGCACAGAGGGCCTGTCTGTCCTCAACCAGGCCATGGCTGCTATCAAGGAGAAGATTGAAGAGAAGAGAGGCGTCTTTAACATTCAGATGGAAGTGAGTGACTTTTTTATGCAACTGTTCCATAGTGAAAGCCACTCCCTGCACTCTGTTTCCCCCCTTTTAGTATTTACTGTTTCTTGAAGTTTAATGTTTTCAAAAATGTACTCTAGTACTGTACTTAAGCGCAAATTCAAGGTACTTAAGCCTGGGCAATAAAACAATAATGATGATTACTGCAATATAATTTTCCTCTAACAATATAACAAATGTGCAATAAATTGGCTTAATTCATTTGAATCACAAATGAATAAGGACCTAATTTCTGGAAGAAGAAGAAAAAGTTGTAATTCTGTGGAGGGGAAAGTTGACTCAAAAAAATGCTACTTCAAATTCATGTTATATTTCTTTTAAATCTAACATGAATATTTTTCTTCCCATATTACAACTTCATTCTCATGTTATAACCTTTAACTCGTAGCATTATGCAGTTCTCTAGTGAATTTTAACTTTATCACAAAATATTGACACTTTCTTTCTACAATATGACTGAACAATTAATCGAAATTGCAATATGGCCATCTGCAATTATCAAATACCAGGAGGTGCAATATTTGTTTAAAGGTGATGTGTCAACAAAACTTTTTTTTTTATTTTTATGAAATATCATCATGCTGCACAGATGTGCTGGCCTACACATCATATTCTACACACTTAAGAAAACGCATGCAAAATTCACTGTTCAATAAAAATGAGAATGATCTAGTATCGCAATATTGCAATTTCAGTCAGAATAATCAAATTACGATTATTTCAAAATCGTATAGCCCTATTTAACAATACTGCTTGCTTTTCCCCAAAATATTACTTTGTTACTCAATCGGAGATATATTTTTTTTTCATCTGGAACTGTACAGAATTTCTCTTTTTTGAATGGGAATCTCTGTTTTGACATGTTCCTAATCTTTTATTACTTTTTCTATTATTATTATTATTATTATTACATAAACTAACTGAATTTGTCCCCTTCAGCCCAAGGTGGTGACAGACACAGATGAGACGGAGCTCGCCCGGCAGCTGGAGAGGCTAGAGCGGGAGAACGCCGAGGTGGACGGAGACGACGACGCCGAGGAGATGGAGGCCAAAGCGGAGGACTAGACTCTGTCCTTGGAGGAAGGCTGGTGGGGGACGGAAACATCAAAGGAGAAATGTGGACTGACATAGCTGCAGTCAATTCAGTCCAACAGATAACTTTCACATTGCAAACATTAACTGGCGTTAAGTTGATTGGCAAACGTCTGGGGTTGTTCATTAGCAAGGTTTGTTTCAGAAGATCGTACTAAAATCGGTATTCTTACCCAGACATGGACACAAGGAAAGTTAAAGTACAAATTAAACATCAGTATAGTTTCTATTTTTAAGTACATTGATTTGAATAAACGATAACTCTAAAACAACTGTTCACAAGCAGTGGCCTTCACTTACCTCTTGCTTAAGAGCTCAGTGTCTTCAAAATCCATGGCACTTCATCTCTGGCTGGTCACTGGATGTGATTGATTGATTAAAGGGGAAACGCATAAGCTCGTCTGTCGCAACACCCTCAGTGGTGACTTTGTGCTGTTTCTCTTCCAGTGAAAGGGTTTTTTACTGGCAAGACCTGCTCTTGTTTAGCTCACATGGCATCAATAAAGTTCTGGAAGTTTTGAGCTCAATGAGTCTTTGTCGACTACTACCAGTAGATTGAATGAAATGACACCAGACCTAACTGTTTTTAATGGAAAGATTGTTTCCCTTTGTAACCACTTTCTAGCACCAAATATCAGATTCTCCCACCACAAAACACAAAAGCGACTGGAACGTGCTATCGCTCTCAAACTGAACTCTGTAAGTCTGCAATGTTGTTACTTTTAAAGCTTTGTTTACATCAGACATGCAAATGTTGGCATGGCATTTCACAAATGAGGAACATTCAAGTTACTGTCCATGAAGCTGCAAATTCTCAGTGCTATTCAAGTTTATAGAAGAGAGGACTTAAGTTTTAAAAGCGAGACACCTTGCAAAGACAAAGACACTAATGCTGGGTAGTGAGAAATGGTTCACACACTGTTATAAAAATCAATTTTATTCAATGTTCACCAATACAAAAACAAATGGAGAGCATCTTCACAACTTCAAATCATTTTTCCTGTTCTTAGCTCAATTTCCTTTAGTGGTTATGATGTGCGGGTGTGCTTATCCAGCTGAAGGGGTGTCACTACCCAAAATATTCAGTGTGTCTCAGACACATTTCAAATGACAATTAGGTCTTTTTTTTTTAGATGTTCTGGAGGACGAAACATGCCAACATGTTGATTAGGAATGTGATAATGAAGAAGGAACATCTGGTAGCTCGACAGAAATAAACAAAAGTTGCGTCCAAATCCCTGAATAAATAACCCTGGGGAAAAAAATATAAAATCACATCCTTGTTGTAGTTATGCATACTCAAGTCTGTGTCCACTTAGCTAACTCACATTCAACTGCGAGCCAGACTCCACACCTTAGAGACTTGAAAGAAAAGTTCATGAAATCGGTAAACTGATGCTGCAGATGACTCGTCCCACAAAGTGCGTGTCGGCATGTACACTAATAAAAGTATAGGACCACAAGAGCTTATCTGGCAACAAAACCATGGTTGTGGGTGTCTGTCCGTAGTTTCCTTTCAGAATTATTTCATCAGAGTCAAATACTGACGTACTGTATACACACAAAAGCACACCGACACGGTCAGCACCAGAAAGGGCAAATGCAGCCTGAGTATGATTAGGGTAAAAAAAAACAAAAAAAACCTGAACTGCTGCACATGTGAGAATGACCAGAATCTGTAAGTGGTCTGTACTGATAAAGACAAGCCGCTTTGTTTGGGGGGTGACAAAATGATGCTACACTATTATACACAATGTTGGGGGTGGGGGGTTCTTCATTCAGTGGTTGTTTTGCTTATTTCACCAGTCCGATCTTCTTAGCTTCAGTTTCATAGATGAGTAACCGCCACATCTTCACTATGAAGACTTCAGCTTCTTCATCAAGAACCTAAAAGGAGCAAAAAGGACAGTTTCACCTGAAGAAGTTAGACGAGACAGACATTTGGGTTATGATGCTGACCATTAACCGCAACGTCCACTGTTCGAATCCAGGTTACAGCCTAATGTTAAGATTACAGAACAAAGCATAGTCCCAAGTAAACGCCTCTTCATTTTACTGGCCTGGTGTGGCCACACGTTTCACACTATAAATACATCCATCGTCAACCGCTTATCCTGCATACAGGGTCGCAGGGTCACAATAAATGTACGTTTCAATTAGATGCCTGGTCTGGTTTTTATAGAAGTTCTTTGGATGTATAAAACCTCTTGAACTATTTCTGAACTGCTTTGATCATGCACGCCAATATGGACGCGCTACACATCATTAGATTCTCCACAATTCAGTCATTTAGTTCATTTTACAGAAATAATGAGCACGAAAGTATTATTCAGATTTACTGGCATGGCAAAGAAATTTAAAGGCCTCTCCCATATAGAAGCCTGTCCTAATTATAGGCAGGGAAATTTGAGTGATTTAAGTAACTAAAAGCCATGTTAGTGTTGTTTTTTTTTTTTTACAGTATTGAAATCTTTGGCTTTGTCTGAGTAACTGTCAAAGAAAACATCATACGACAAAAGCTGCAAATTCTCACATAGAAAGCTGGAACCAGCAAATGTTTGTCATTTTTCAAACAAAAATACCAAAACAGTTAACTCATTATCAAAATTGTTTGATTAATTTTGTATGTTTATTGCTGTAGAGCAGATGTAGGTTTATATCCAGCAACACAAATGGGTTAAGAACATGAATTCACACCCATGGAGATGAGTGAGCTCATACAGTGCATTAATAAAACTGACACATTCTGCCCTCGCAGACTGGATGTGATAATGGTAAACAAGTCAGACACATGATGGTATGTATGACTTGCATTCATTCAGCCTTTGTAATTTCTCACATACTGCACTACAACTAATACTATATTTTGACCAAGCGGGAAGCTTCCGGTGAGAAAACTGATGCGAACGTCTAAGTCCCTTAAACCTGCATTCTACTATATGGCCAGCAGGGGGCAACTCTTTTGGTTGCAAAAAGAAGTCCAGCTCCATTACAAATAATGGTAAAATGACCCCACTTCTCAGATGAATAATTATCTCAGTAAACTTTCCTAATGAGTTTATGGTCTCAATCTCTAGTTTCAAGTCTTCTTCAATACAACATGATGTTCATTTAGTAAATCATGGTCCCGTTTAGTGGAAAATTGACCATAAAGCAGAGTATGCTTCAGGACGGGATTAGGCTAGAGTGACTCCTACCCACGGCACTGGAGATACCCCAAGTTTATTAGGAGTTCACAGACCAATGGGTGACGTCACGATGACTACGTCCACTTATATACATTCTATGATTTTGACTAGGAGGCAGACTGTTAACATATACTTTTAACAAAATTAAAACAGAACATTGTTGTCAATGTTAGAACTATCTGTCAACATGAATTTAATAGAAGGCAGAAAACAAATTGATGGCTTATTTATTCATATAGTTACTCACCATGGCAACATCATCCAAGATACTCTGTGGCATACTGTGAGCCATCACCTGGGAAAGAAAAAAACATCAGGATCATTTCATGCTTCACTTTCACACCCAAGTCTGAATGAAGTCAAATGTGCAAACGTCACATCATCAATACCTTGGAGCAGACAAAGTCCACTAACGTTGCCTCTTCCTCTCCGATGTACTCGATAATCTTTTTGTTGATCCAGGGCCGAACACGTCGTTCCATTAACGTCTAAAAGGATGAGAAGAAGAGATGAAGGCACAGGCTTCGTTTTAGAAGTGGTATTACCATCTGCTGCCATTTCCGAATGAGGCCAGCAGTGCAAAGTTTGTGAATATACTCTTTTTTTAAACAATGTCACTGTGCAGCTAGTCCCGAAGGCCAATTTTGTAAAAGATAATATTCTCAGTAAACTTGTTTGCTTAAAACGGGTTAAAAACGTCTCAATGAGACATTTTTCTTTCTCTCCTCACCGTGTCGACCATAGACCAGTCCAGCGGGTAGGAGAACAGCTCAGGCTTTGCTGTGGGAATCTTTTCTATCAGGCTCTTGATGTGTTTACGTTTCTCCTCTGTGTTGGCGCCCTTTATGCTGGAGAGCCCGGCTCCGTCCACCCCGAGGCTCTTGTCATCATCGTAATCCAGGGGCACCAGCTTCCTCTTGCGAGGCTGTTCATCAGCCTCTTCGTCGTCAAACTTGTTGAAGACGCTGTCCACGGGCAGCTTCTTCCTCTTAACTGCATTGGGCTGACTGGGGCTTCCTGTGGCACCTTGAGATGGACAAGGAGCTTTATGAATTCAACTGTCCTATACAGATGATAAAGTCCACTTGAATTTACTCGGATAGAATAACATGGCTTCTTGTACTGCAGAGACTGAATCCTGCTTAAACTATTACTTTCTTCTTTGCCAGTATCTGTTCCAATAAAAGTCAAAGAAGTGGAATGCTTACATTAATAATCTGAAATCACTTATAGGTGGAGAGAGCAATCATAACAAAGACAGCTTTTTAAGTTTTTCCAGTCGAATGAAAGTATGCGTGGAGACAGAACAGAACCGTGGTGTGAATTTGGTGGCTGTTATAATGACAGACATTTATACTAAATCTCTGTCTGTAGAATGTCAGACAATAGTGAAAAATGCCCATCACAATTTCCCAGAGCCCAAGGCGACGTCTTCAAATTGCTTGTTTTATCGTCAGACAAAAATCCAATTTAATTAACAATGATCTAAACGGAGAAAAGCAGAATATGCTTAAGTGAGTGTTTGGCAGCGAGTTAGGTAGGAAAATGAGTTTATCTTTTACTGATTATTAAAATAGTTGCAGATCAAATTTCTGACTAACTGACTAATAGTTTTAGCTGTCCCTGTGAGCGCGCCGTGTCTGTCCACGTTACAGTGAGGACACTTGCTTCTTTTAGACTCACCCAGTTTCAGACTGAGGCCAATCTTTGGCCGGTGCTCCTCCTGCGGCAGGGCCTCAGGGGGCGAGTTTTCGTGGGGGATTATAATGCCGCAGGGCGACTCGTCCCCGGGCGTGTTAGGGGACACGTTGCCACTGGCCGACGACACTGAGGGTGCTGCTGTGATGGGCCGCATTGTGGGCTTCAAGCACGGTTTTGCATCTGGGTTATCTTCGTCATTGTCATAATCGTCTTCCTCGCCCTCCTCCATCTCGTTGTCCGAGTGGGTGGGCCGTGATCGGGCCTCTGCTCTGTCCTGGTCCTGTCGAGGGTCCCGGTCCTGTCGGTGGTCTCGGTGGTCTCGGTGGTCCCGATGGTCCCTGCGCTCTCGTGAACTCCTGTGGCGTTCCCTTTCCTCCTCGGGTTCCGGCTCTTGGATGATGGGAGGTTGTCTGAGACGCTCCTCCTCTTCCTCCTCCATCTGGACCAATAAGAAGCAGATATGCACAAGATTAACAGCCAATCACAGTGTTTTACAGAAAGGAAGGTCAACAGACAATGAAAGCTGGACACCACACGTGCAGAGATGCAGAGAGACTCGGATGATCAAGTGACCTTCACAAAGACAGCAGACAGCATGGCCACTCACTACAGATATATAGACAAACACTCACACACAC